CCATACACTTGTTGAGGGATTGTTGTCATGAGTTCCTACTTTAATAAATCAACTTGTCATCTGTGAAACTGTTTCTTATTTGTAATATACAAGATAATATATAAATGCAATATATTCATATGAAATGATTTGTGATGTCATTAGTACTTTGTCTTAATTTGCCTTGTTTCATGTCTACATAATTACCATATTTGTATCGTTTGATTATTCTAAGGATTTCCATACCTCTCTTCCAAATCACAGTTTGACATCTGGCTTGACATCATCATCTGCGTTTTGTTCCAAGTTTTATTTTTTATACTACATGTATGTTCACATGCTTTTCAGAAGCAGCTATTGGCCACATATGCCAGTTAACCAGCAATGTTGTAAGAAGTAATTGAACTGGAGAATTTGTGTATTATTTTCAATGTTCATATTCATCAGTTTTATTTGATTTTATTGTATGTGTGTGAAACTAGGCAATTTGTTAGCCTGCCTTTAGGGTAAGATTTCAGGCATTGAATACAGTTTTTCAGTTTTATACTGGCTGTTTTGTTATGTGGTTTTATTAGCCACTAGTATAGTTGTTAAGTGCTGTGATAATGTTTTCATTCATTGTGAATATAGACTGAGTAGGTAGCAATATTACATTTAAGCAGCAATAACCTGAGAGTTGCGCGTCTTGTTACAAAACGCTCTGTACTGATCTCTGATTGCATTAGTCTGTTGGAAAATAGTTTTGTATAAAATAAGCAAATTAAATTTTTCATAAACTAATATATCATATAAGTATATATTATGGTTGCAGTACACGTGTACTTCTTCATACATTATGGTTGCGGTACATGTGTACTTCTTCATACATTATGGTTGCGGTACATGTGTACTTCCTCATACATTATGGTTGCTGTATACATGTACTACTTCATACTTTATGGTTGCGGTACACGTGTACTTCTTCGTATTTTATGGTTGCAGTACACGTGTACTGTACATACATTATGGTTGCAGTACGTAGGTACTGTTCATACATCGTCAAATAAAGCCCCCAGTATAGTCATGCAGTCTTGGTAACATTTTAATTCTCAACATAATGTAGTCAAACAGTGATTATTTAATCTTTGGTAATTAATAGTGTACAGCAAGACCTGTTTTTTATGTTGATTTGTTACCTTTTTTGTGCTAAAATGAACATTGAGAATTTCTCATAGAAAATGGTCCAGTACTGCAATAAAATTGTATCTTCTGTAAAAATGCAAATATGTATAACCTCTGTGGCAATTTTAATTTAAACTGCATAAATACAGTATAATAAATTATATGTTGTTTTTATGGTTAAACAAAAAAAATAATTAATTTTTATTTTCTTGCTTCAGATTATGTATATAGCTTTTAAATAATCATGGCAAAATGCCATTAATCAGTACCGCTCATCCATATGGCACCTGAACTTACCAACCCTTGGTCGCCTGCATGAAGTCTTGTCATTTGTGCTGCGTCTGTGATGCATCCATGCAGTCCTCATTTTGCCCGGCAGAGTTTTCAGATCCTCTAATGTTGTCCTGGGTCTATCACTTCCCAAAAAGATAATTTTGGTAAGTCTGACATATTTCTTCCAACAAGATGCTCTCTGCATTGTAGCTTAATTGCTTTGATAATGATTTCTACTGGTGTTAAACTACCTGTAGTGTTGTATTGTTCTTGAGTCCTTTTTATGAGTTGTATATTAGACTTGATGTTTAAGACAGTATAGTCAATAAAAAGAATTCAATTCTCATAAAATTGCAATGTATTACAAAAAATAATATTTTCCATCAATGTTGCAGTTTGTACTGGGGAATAATTTCAGAGTAATGATAGTTTCCCATGCAATTTTCTAAGTGGCTTGAATTTCTCGTGGATGCAAGAGTCCCGAGCCGTTGAGCCAGCTAGAATGTCACATGTAACTGTTCTTTCAAATAGTGGTCAGGACTGGATTTAGGTCTTGTACCACTATAGGATGGTCAGCTCTTGTGCTGCCTCGTGCTACAGTCTTCCCGGCTTGGTGCCTTCTTTTGATAATTATTTACTATTGCACCTCTTGCTACCTCTCACAACCAATCCTGCTCCATTCACTCACTTTTTGCTAATATAACCACATTTGTTAGAATGGTAGAATGATAAAGCTTCCATACACCATTGCATTCAAGGTATTACCTCACATGGTCTTTCCAGATTGGTGCTGCCCTTTGATAATTACTTAAGGTATTCCCATGGTGTATTACCAGTGCCCAAATATACCTGCCATGTACTTACTAATATTTATGCCATGATCTAATCTGGATACAAGGCTTGCTAGTACATGATAGAGCAGGTACCAACTTAAACACTTCATTGTTTATTAATGACTTCATTGTAAGTAATGTGTAAAAGGGGGGGGGGGGCTGGCAGGTGTCAAGAATCAAAACACACACAATCATATTTCTGTCAAGCCTTAGATAGGGCCCTAGCTGAGGTCCTACTAGTACTGTGCCACCTCTCATGATCGTTGTTGGATAGTGAGGAGGAGGAGGAGGAAGGGAAAATAGGAGTAGACAATAAGAGGGAAAGATGACCTTTACCTCCATCAACCATGCCTCTCTTCCTCCCATAATTTTAACTAAAGTTTAAAGAATTATATAGAGGAAGATTATGAAAGAAAACATAAATAATACTTCAAAGTTTATTGACTGATAAACCAAAGTCATTGTAACTGCAATCATCAATTGCATGTGTTCAGGAGAACCAATTTTTTTTGTATAATGTGGATAAATATAAAGTTGTCTGTGTCAATTCTTCTGGGATAACTATTTTCTTGAGGGAAATGTTAACAAATCTTTCCATAGCACATGCCAAGAAATGTACATGCTAGTTTAGTATTGTATGAAATAAGCAGATATCTTTCTTGTAGCAAGCAAAGTTGAACACCTGAGAGTGCATTAACAATGTATTTATAAGCCGACCCATTCATAGGTCTGGATTCACTACCAGAGATTGAGCGAGACAAGAATATCCCTAATTTGGCAAAATACTTGGGAACCAATTGAATTTTTACAGGTCATTAGGGTTGGGCCATTGTGATACAAGAATGTGTTATACTTTAACCACTGAACTGCGCAACACGCCTGCAGGTGCTCGACGGGGGGTGCGCAACGCGCCTCCAGGATCTTATATTTTTAGCGTATAATTCAAAACTTCCGCGGCTACATGGACTTCACATCAGCTTCCTCAGGGCTCTTGTAAGCAGACGCCATTTAAAAAAAAAATCATGGGCAACATTCCCAGGTGCGAGAGCCTCATTACCGAGTGAGCAACCAAGGCTGGCACACGCAGCATGAGCTCACAGCACTGCTGTTCAGCTTGTGACCACAGCATCGCCTAATAATGTCAAAATATATATATATATAATTGGTATTATTTAGCCATGATAGTATTACAGAAGAGCCTGAGTGGGATAATAATTGTGTACAATGTTCAAATATCAGTGAATCAATGCTGTTCACGATGTTCACAGCACTAGTCACAGCACCACAGCATTATTTCATCCATCTAGGAATCTTCAAACGACTTCTTATGTTCCTTTACAAAATAAACTTGTGGTCAATTATTCACTTACAGAATTTAGTGACCAGGATTGTGCTGATAATTAGCGCTGTGCGTAGTATTATGGGAGGAGGAAGTTTGGTGAGGGAGGGAATCGAGATAGCGTTACTCTGTGTGGCAGCCACTCTCTGTTTTGCTCACCATACTAGCTTAATGGTTTGCTATGGTGAATAGATATGTACATGGGTATATATAATGTGTGTATATAGTGTAATAACAGCAACAGAAGTATGTTGAGAGGAGCCATTTTGGTGAGGAAGGTGGCGTCGTACTCGTAGCGTCGTCTGCTGTGTGATTTCTCATGCAGTGTATGGTGGCCACTGCTGTTTGAACACAATACCAGCTTACTTGCATAGTTATGGTGAATAAAACAATGTAGATATGTATACATAACGTGTGTGTAAATAGTGTAATAAAAACAATAACAGTATGGTGGGAGGAGGAATGTTGGCGAGTAAGGTGTAAGGAGTAAGCTAGGTGTTGGAGGAGTGAGGGAGGGCTGGCTGGGTGTGGCAGCTCACACTCGCGGAGTTCTGACTGTGTTAATGGTGAATGTAGATAGTGTGTAAATATACATAAATGAATAAGAAACATTGGATATATAAGCAATATATGTGGACAAATTTGAGATAACACAATGTCTTGGGACAATACAGATGTTCTACTGCCATAAAATTGTGTTCGTGTTCATTATATATAGGATCGGCAAGAAAAAACACAACAAATGTATTTGGAAATGTACGCAAAAAATTAACAAAAAAATATTTGTGGCATCTCGCACATGTTGAAGCAGGCACGCGACTGCCTCTGGGAGTCTACGTCACAGGCGACCACCAAATCGTGACATCACGCGCCATTTTCCGGACCCCATTGCGGTCAAAGTAAGTACAATTTCTTTTTTTTTTATATAGGTGATCAGGGAAGGGTATTTAACATTTTCAAAAACAAAAAGAATTTTTAATGAGAATTTATTTCCTGTGCATGGGGGGGTGCCGTATTTGGAAGGCGAGCAGCACAGTGGTTAATGCTATGTGATTGTGATATTAAAAAGTTACTTTATTTATCAATCATGTATAACACTACATGAACACCAGCATGTAATTGCTATCATTTTTGTGTTGGCAATGTCTCCCCCCCCCCACCACCACCTTAACCACTGCACTGCGCAAAGCGCCTTTAGGCGCTCAGAGAGTTGTGCTTTTTGTTTTTTAATTTGGCTATATTTTAATGTTTTTTAATGTTTTCATTACTATTTGTGTTTTGAAATGGAAATAGTTGACTTTGGAAACATTTTGACATTAAATTTACCAGAACATTTGTAAAAATAATAAAAATATGTCCTTGTCAATTGCACCAAGACGTTTTTGCCGAAAATAGGTGAGCAGTGCAAGGGTTAAAAAGTACTTATGCAATATTAGCTAACTTTACAAATTTCATACACAGTACTGTATAACTGGGCAAAAGACATTTAAAGTTTGTGGCTTCATCTAATTTAATTTTAAATCATTTTTTCTCATCCATTAATTAATTAACTAGATGTACAATTTAAAATGCTGATATAAATTGATTAAAATACACCCATTAAAAGCAAAGAATACTTGAAATATTACTGTACTTACAAAAATAAATTAACAGCACAGTACATGGAATATCAAAGCATGAACTCTGCTAAAAAATGTTATATACCAGCCAATAATACTGGTAGATAAATCACATTTTGCAAAGCATTACAGCTCTACAATAATTTTAGCAAAGCAAACACCTCAAAAAATATAGTCCTTTCCTTTGATAAAGAAAATACTAGACTCACACTCTGTCACGACTTAGGGTCCAGGACGGATCAAACCACTTTCATTTCGTCACACGTGCACAAGCTGGGTTACTTGTGTCGGTTGTATTATTGTGACATTACCTACAAATATAGTAGTATCTCATTAATAACCATCTTCTAGACTTCAATTCCGTTATTTGTGGCTTTTCCTTCCTTCCTTAACCTCTCCTCGTCCTTCATGTTGGGTTTCTCTGTTCTTGTGTGCCACACGTATACCTAGAAGTATTTGAACAATGTCTAATAGTGAAGAGTGGGAGTAAACAAGTTAATAAAAGTGACAAACACAATAAATATAAACTATATATATCATGATTAAAAGTGTATTTAAAAGTTGTAAAATAAGACTGAAATGAATTTTTAAATTAACTTCAGTAAAATTTTGTTTTAAAGTACATATAGACTGCATTTAAACTTTTGTGCACTATAATATACTGTACAATATACCATGCTTACAATCAAGTCCACTATACAGTACATGTATTTCAAATACAAATTCATGATATACAGTAAATACTATACACTAAGAATATGCATACATTACATACACAGGTATATGTATGCTGTATGTTAGAGTAGCATATGTATTCTACTCTAATACAAATACAGTTACTAGGGCTTGTTTTTCAAACACAGTAGATTACCTTTGTGCAAAGTTCTGCTTTGGGCTCTAGCTGATCCAGTGTTACTAGTTTCTCCAATAAATTGCTTTCTAAATATCCAATTGGTGAATTTAAGTTGAATTCAATGTTATTTTTCTTCAAAAGTAACGACAAATTTATAGCAAAGCCAGCCATATCTATAGCAAATGGACGGTTTGGTTTCCAGCCCGTGAGCCAGCCTGTTACACGAGGAGCCGTGTCCTTGTGGTCTGCGCTGCTCACCAGAGGACGTTCTACCATGACTCCGCCAACTAAACCTACAGGCCATACTGACACTGTCCGAGTATCACGCATCTGAGGAATACAGAAAACTTAGTCAAAGTGTATTATATGCAGGTTACAAAATATTAAGGGGTAAAAGGAGTTAACTCCCACCACCTGAAACACACAATCATCCCCCTCACCTATGGCAACATCATTTAACTAGCATTCTGAGTTTTCACCACCACCAAGAATCTGTGAGGACCAGTTACACTGGGAGATACATGTTTCCATTTAATATTTGTTTAGGGTTCAGTACATGTATATCTCTGTCATATCAGTAATGATATATCTGTCATTATACTGTACATGTAGTAGAGTTTTACTTTAACTGTAAACAAGCAGTGATGGTACAGGTAGATGGTTAATGAAGCAAGAAGTATGTACCCATGCAAGAGAATTTTCAGGTCTGTCCATTTCCCAAACTGTATATGGCATGTACCAACAAATATATATTCCTTACCTCACAGCTACAACCCTGCTCCTGTGCCAGGGAAGTCCACTACGGGCTCATAGCCTGTGCTACTTGGAACATTTTGTTCCCAGTTGTTGAATATTAAACAACAAAAAACCAATATTTTGACAAATACTCTTAATTAATACTGTGGCATAAAAAGTTTTAACTTTGATACCGATACTTAAATACTTATTTATGTTAGAGCTCAGCAAGACATAACAATGGTTCTCATGACCTCAGGGTTTGTAAACTGAGCATTATTGCATATTAGTACAATGGCAACTTGTAAATCCAAACCTTATTATTATGGATCCCTCATAACAACTGACCAAATTCAGCCACTAGCTCTTCCAATTTTATTTTTATTTTTCAGAAAAACAGAATAAGGCTCTGAACTAACCGATGCAGCCATCATGACCCAACTAGCAGAAAAACTAAGTAAAAAAATCTTCATGATGCCCAGGAAGCCTGGAGCCACCAAATGTGAGACAAACACACAGCTAACACGCAGTCTTAGCTTGATGAGGGTGAAGGGAGTGTTGATAGCCCATGAAAATGAGAGAACAATTCTTCCCTAAGTAAAAATTCAGTTAAAGGTGCTGGGCTCTGTCTCTACACAAGTTTGTGTCATCAAAGTACCTCCCACCAGTGGGAGGTACTGAGAGAACCTGCCTAAAAATATTCTGAAGTTTAAATTCATTAAATTTACATTATAAACTGTATACAGTATTAGAATTGAGCAATATCATATAAACATGATTTTAAATAATGCTACCAACTGCTGTCACGTTATTTCTACTTTATTGGTTTTGTCATACAATACTGCTTTGATATTGCTCTTATATAATAATTTTAAATTACCTGATGGTCACCATATAATGCTTGCAACAGCGTCAGGAAGGTTCTATTTATCCTAATAATTTGTTCAAGCTATATTTTGAACTGTAACACTCTTAAACTGTTGAGAGTTTATTGTACTCTGGATACAAAATCAGCATTGAATATAATGAAATTCCTCTTTCTGGATGAGCCCCAGTGACTCCCTCACTGAGATGGCTCCCAACAGCTAGGTCACATCAGCCAGAGTTCTGTTTGACTACCAGTGGACCAGGCCCTCCTCACAGAGGCAGAGAGAGTAGGTGAACCACCACCCCACTATGAAAACATTCAGAAAGTCATCCAACCAATACAAACCACTGCTAGGTCCAAAGAGACTAAAACCTCAAAACTGTCAAACTCCCCAAACAATGTAAACAAATCTCTCAAACTTAGCACGAGTTCATAACCCTCCCACCCCACCCCCTCTGCCAATAGGGGAGGGGGGGACCTGGAGTTTCAACGGTGGCGAGGTAATATCAACACAAGCAATAGTGTCTCTGCCAAGTCCACACAACACAAAGTGGACAAAAAAACATGTCCATGAAGCTAAAATACAGAATAAATACCAAGCAAATTGTCCCCCAGCAGGACAAAGTCCAAGGATGGCTGGTAATTAGCCGAGACGTAGCGGGACCTGCGTGGCTAGTTGACGACTAGGGAACCCTACAGTGGACAAGTGATGGTGTCCACATCAGCGACGGAACTAACTTTGAATTCTGAGGCAGACATTGCTCTACCCCCTCACCCCCCTACTGGCAGAGATTAGTGCTTATGTGCTGGTGCTAGTTTCCAGATTGGATCGTTTGTTTACATTGTTTGGAGAGTTAATTCAGCAGTTTCAATGCTTTGGTCTTTTTTTTTTTTTGAACCCAGAAGTAGTCTGCATTGGAACGCTAACTACCTGGCTGCTTTCTCGGTGGGGTGGTGGAGCATCACCCACTCTGCCTCTGTGAGGTGGGGCCAGGTTGTAGCTTGTAGGCCAAACAGAACTCAACAGCTGGTGTGACCTAATAGTTGGTAGCCATTTATTTCTGTTAGATAGCTTTAGGGAGCTATCATGGGCTTCCCAGAAAAGCATCTCTTGTTGTCTGTCACATTGAGGCTAGGTATCTTAAAACTTAATGTATTGCTTCTGGTGTGAGCCAAGCTGTACCTTTTTAAAGAAGTGATTTTGATTATTGTCTTCTAGGTTATTTTGTGTATAAAAGTTAACATAGTTCAGGGATATTTTTCCAGGTGAATGACATATTTTCGTATCCATGCTTGGATACAATAATCCAGGAAAGGTACACAAAACATTTTAATAACAAGATGACCAATTTCTTTTAAGTCAATGACTGCTGGACTATTATTTTGAGATTCCAATTTTTTCAATAAGTTTCAAGGCTGTGCTATTAATATGTAGTATTGTACTGTACTGTCATGTGCAAGGCATTGAAATATTAACTATGCCACTGAACCATCAAAGATAGTGGCCATCAAGTAAGCACAACTGGAATACAATTATCAACGGTATCATTTGCAATGTTAACAAACAAGCATTACAGTACCTCAATAAACAATTCTGTGCTGTAGGTGTTATCATCATCAGCAAAATAGACTACTCCCCTGGGATTACCATCATAGAGGAATTTTCTCCGGAGCCATTTCAGACCTGCATTCCTCTGTAAAACTCCCCTGGGTTTCCTCCAGATTGGATCCTGAAAGCAACTGACCAACTAAATAAACGAATAAAATTTACAATAATATTTTCAAACCCTAAAATTGTCGAATACAGTACTGTATAGGCAAATCATCATTCAAACAAATATTCTACTTCACAAATCAGTATTTAACCAAAATACATTGTATAGCCTGCCTGGAATATGTTTCATTACATCTCAACAACCACCATATTATATTTGTTTACTTATTTATTTTGAAGTATAGTACACCTATTAAATTTCCATGTAAAGTTCCTTACATTATCTTTCAGTTTCCAGTCATCTGGGGTCAGCTGGTGCAGATGGGTGAATGTTAAGCCTGATAGTTCCAGAAAATCAGATACCATGTGTGACTTTTGAGGCGCATCTTCGACGACTATCCAATGTAGCGCTGGAACATGGAGAAACACGTTCTTTAACCTGTTGACAGAGAGCATCACTTACTTTTGTTTCTATCTACAAAGGTCTATACTGTACATGAAATAAATGTTTATTAGCAGCATGTGGGACACATCTATATAAATCATTGAACAACCACGACATCTACCTAACTACCTGTTGATGATTTCGAGGATCAACATCAAGCAGCTGTTCGATGCGGCTGCTCGCAGCCTGACATACGAGTCATGCCTGGTTTGGCAGGCATGGCAGAATGTGCAAAATATCTCCACTGAAATGCAGAGGGGCAATAGGCATGCTGAGAGAGAGAACTCAGATCAACATCAAACGTCTTTAAGAGTTTTCAATTTTCAACTCTTCCTCAATAATACGGGGCATAACTGGCCGACCTCTTGCAGTATTCAAAGGAGAACTCGACAAGCACTTTGTCGAGTTCAACCACCCTGTCGTACATCAGGCTGCTCGCAGCCTAGTGTACGGGTCATGCCTGGTTCATCAGGTATCCTTTGAAGATGCTTGTCGAGTTCTCCTTTGAACACTACAAGAGGTCGGCCAGTTATGCCCCATATGTGTTGGGGAAGAGTTGAAAATTGAAAACTCTTGGGACCTTTTGATGTTGATCTGAATTCTTTCTCTCAGCATGCCTATTGCCCCTCTGCTTTTCAATGGAGATATTTTGCACATTCTGCCATGCCTGCCACGCCTGCCACGCCTGACAGCTGGGTGGACAACGCTTCGGATTCGATTCCCGGTGGAGGCGGATGCAATTGGGCAAAATGTTTCTTTCACCCTGATGTCCCTGCTACCTAGCAGTAAATAGGTACTGTACCTGGGAGTTAGACAGCTGCTACGGGCTGTTTCCTGGGGGGAGTGTAACAAAAAGGAGGTGCTAAAAAAAAAACGTATTTTAGGGGTTTAGTGTCCCCTGTCCCCGTCCCCAGATAGGCTCAGTACTGTATTTAAAAAAAAAACACGAGTAAGTGCTCGCACATTGCCGCGCCGTCAATGATTACACAAGTGTTCTTACATTGGCGAGACCATTGAGCTGAAGCTCAACCCCTGCAAGCACAACTAGGCGAGTACATTAATAAATCTTATGACAAACTAAGCTTCCTTAACATTGTCTCTTCAACAATGTAAATAGAACTTTACTCAATAATAATAATAATAATATAAGAACAATACTTTAGAAGATATAATGAAAAAATTAAGAAATTTTGAGATATACTTTTTTAATAAATGTGGAGATTTGTAGGTAATGATTACTCAGATATTCGATATCAAAGACAATCAGGATATTTGAAATAAGATTTGCTTCATATACAAAGTTCTGATAAATACCAAACAATAAGAACCCGACTTTTCTTTTTGTCTTGATGTAGCTATTTTTAGCTTGATTCAAACAAGTGTCATCTACCATATCTTCACAATAAATCAAGGTGCACATTATACAGATGGGCAGATAATGTATAATGGAGAGAGTTGATACACAGTATAGAGAAGGCCACAGGCTAAACAGTAGCAACACTGGAAAAGGGTCTACCCGACATTGTGCCGAGAGAACGAGGAAGACAACGCAAAGAGTTGATACAGATGCAGAGAATAAGTCACAATAACGTGACAAACAAATGATCAAACCCATACCCGCCATGCCATGGTGACTTGATAAGGGTCCAAGATGAACCGATTTGTTTCATTTCAAAGATCACAGAGCTGGTAAGCAGGGAAAGGATGGGATGAGGCCGCAAAAACTGGAGCTAGGAATGAAGACGAGGTGAAGGCAGGACAAAAAGAGCAGTGGGCCCAACCATCTTGGATTTGAACTTGCTTTTGATAATGGGAAACTGATTGAAGTTTGTAATGTCTCATAATGTTTGTCTCATTGGAGGTTCAGCAGTCCTGAGAATAGAAGAGTACAACTCCCACTCCCTCTTGACGCATGTAAATGGGTGTTGTGTGGCTGGTGGTGGTAATTAACTGCAAAATTTCACTCTTAATGTGCTACATACCCTTCCTGGCTTCGTGCCTTTTTTGATAATTACTTACTTCACTCTTAGTGAATGCTTGGTCCCCTTGGAACAGAACCTTCACCTTGTAGAATATGGTACTTCTTGGCCAGTACCATTAGCAAGGGTTGAAGTCGAAGCAACACAGCTGGCACCCCCCCCCCCCCTCAATGGGATGCAGTGCCGATGGAAATATACTTCTCACTCTGTGAGGCTTGCAAGCTCGCTCATGTAAGGAGCAACCAGACATGTCCGGCCACAACGGCTGCTGGCGATTCACCTGTGATCTATGATCTGATTGTGATCACCATCACTGCCCTCTGTGATCATGACCCGATATGTCGTCACTTTCACTTCTTGTGTGTGGGTGGGTTTGGTTATTTGATACTAATGCAAAGCAAGTATAGAATTAGTGAAAATCTGCTCATCACTTTTGACACAATCAGTAATGCAGCTTAAGAGGATACACCTCTGTCAACAATATTCAATATCAAGATAAAATGTTAGCGTATAAATAAGCAATTATCAAAAGAAGGTACCAAGCTGAGCTTGAGCCTAAGTCATATGCATAGAATTACAAATCTCAAGTAAATAAATAATATCTTAAACATCGGCACAAAACTGTGCCTTACACACAGAAATCGCAATAGCGTGATGCATCAATGAACAAATCCACAAGGGACGTGATGAGGATTCAAACCTACATCCGAGATCATCCCAGACATCATCCCATTTTTTGACAATGTCGTAGCTCAGTCGATTAAGGCAGCATCTGGGATGATGTCGGACGTAGGTTCAAATCCTTGTCACGGCATCACATCAACCAGGCTGTGACTCATATCAACCAGGCTGTGACTCATACGTCAGGCTGCGAGCAGCCGCGTCTAACGGCCTGGTTGATCAGTCCAGCAACCAGGAGGCCTGGTCGACGACCGGGCTGCGGGGACACTAAGCCCCGGAAGCACCTCAAGGTAACCTCAAGGTAAGGTAACGGCCCTTATGGATTTGTTCACTGTACCTTACCTTGTTAATTCGGCCTTTTGATGAGGCCGTGCAAAGGTTGGCGTGATGATGTATATAACTGGTAACAGAACATCTGAGTACTCTTTCTCTGGTATAGAGTAGCGCTTCAGTACTGATTTGAGCAATTTGACCTGTAAATGAATTTGTTTAATTAAGTGTAATGTAATAAAATGTAAAACTCCTTAATATAATAATTTAAAGCAATGTCATATGCATAATCATCTCAAAATAATTTGTATTCTAATCATCTCAAAATAATTTGTATTCTAATCATCTCAAAATAATTTGTATTCTAATCACCTAGTTGGTAAATCCTTAATTTCAATCTCTTAAAATCATATAAATACTGTACATAATATAATGTGTTGAGTGTAATAAAATACCCTTCTGCTGCCTCCTCAAACATGAGACCGAAAAATATCCACCACCTGCCTCTCATGCACTCAATGAAACGAAATTCAAGATGAAGATACAGGTGACAGTACACAATCTTACAAGGTACAGATGTGTTTAGCAATAGAGAGCTGAAAGCCAGCCAGATTGATCTAGCCACCAATAACCTATAAGAAGTAGAGCCCCCAGAAGCAGTACTGAGTGAGGACAAAGAGAAAAATGCTGAACATGCACTATGATGACCATGGTAAAGATGCCTCCCACCCCTCCCAATGCTATCCAACCATGTTAACTGGAAGGAACAGATAGGAGGTTCATCAGTCCCAGTCCAAGCAAATTGCGTCCACCACCAAAGCCTAATGAATTGGGAATGGTGCCACAAGCAGTGAAAACAACCATAGCCATGCTGAGGCCAAAAGATCCACCAATGGGCAACCAAATGTTTTGTAAATCCAGAGAAAGGAGGCCCTGTCTACCTTCACCTCAAATTGAAATTAAATGGAAGAAAGACTGACCACAAAAACATCCGAGACTTGAACTTGAATCACTCATAGAACAAAACCTCAGGGATCCAAAAACAAGGCCATCTGCACAGTCCAACCTCACATAGAAAGGGAACGTATCTGGAGCCCCTCCAGATCATGATAAACCACTGAGAGGCAATCCAAACAACTAGGGTTCCCAGAGGCCACTGATTTGCTCTGGATGCTCTGCCATCCAGACCTCTACAAACACCTTTTCTGGGGGAAGCCCCGGTGGCTCCCTGAAGCTACTCACTCTCTAGTGTGTCATACTACTAGGTCCTATCAGTTGTGGAATTCTATGACCTGCCAGGGACCAAGAGCCAGATCTTGGTCCCCTCACAAGAGGCACAGGGAGCAGTGGCATCTATATACTGTATTAAGTTATTCATTTATGCCACCACAGAGGAAGGCACCCAGAGTGAGCAAAACAAAACAAACCACTGCTGGCTTTAAACAAGATCACAGTCTCCAAAAACACTATAGAACTTCCCCAACAATGTAAACAAATGATCAAAATTTCATGAAACTAGTACAAGCTTGTTTGCCCCACCTCCCCCTCTCCTTTGGGGGGAGGGAGGGAGGCAGCCAAGGGTCAGTCAGCTGCTCCACCCTCAGTTCTCCTCTGATGGTAGTGTGTGCTGGGTGTTCACTCTCTCTTTCTGGCTTCAGTGCACTAATGATGACTGTAAACACCAGCCTTAGTGGCTGTTGTTTACAATTCTGTGTAGCATGGGCCAGAAGTTGAGAGCACTTGGGGTTGCATGTGCTCAGGGTTATCTTCACTGTGTGCTCCCTAGTGCTGCCCTTGCGCTGCCAGGGCCATATTTTCTGGAGTGTTCAGGTGACGTTTTTTAGAGGTTCTCCTCTGTTGTGGTGGCCTTCTTGCCTTGGGACAACTCGTGATGTCTTTGACTTCTGTCTTTCCCCAGACTGGAGCATCTTGGCTGGTGGGGCACACAAGTTGTAATCAGTGTACCAAGGTCAGCCTTCACAGCTGCCTTAACTAGCCCTGGTATTTTCCCCACAGGTTTGGGAGTTCTATGGAATGCCACCAAACCCACTCTCACCTTGGGCGAGTTGAGAGTTGTTCTGTCATTAAATTTTTTAACCAGCTTATGAAGACTGTAATTTGCCTAGCTAAAGAATTTGGGGTTCAATCCCAGAGTCCATTATGGGCCTCTTAACTTTTTTCCACTACGACCCACATGAGTATGGGGTGCATAATAAATGAACTAAACTAAACTCTCCTGTAATTACAGAAGAGATTGGTCTGGAGCCCCAACTTTTGTATCTTATCTCCACAAAAGGCCATGTTGGAAAAAGAAAAGTAATGTTGATGAGTTTTGTTTCTGGCACGTAACATCAAACTTTATCAAACTCGCATTAATTCCAATTCACCTTTCTACTTCAGCCTTTAGAAACCCCAGCAATCTCATCCTAACCACTTTTTCCTTAATTTCAGTCTTTCTTAAGCTATTCCAAATTTGTACTTGTCCCATTTAAATTTGTAATTCATATGAGCATATTAAATGGTGCAGACACTTGGCCAGGTGAACAACTAGAGAGCCATAGGAACTAAACACACTTTAGTGATTTATATACATATACATACATACATACACAGGTGGGTACAGGAAATGATGACTGCTGACTCCCGTTAGCAGGTTGAGAGCTTTCCAATCCCATAGCTCATGGTAAGCCTTACCCACTAGTTTCCCTCAAATACGACCTGCCAATTGTTTAACCACCATGTACAAAATCACTGCTGGGTGAACAGATGCATATAGTTAAGGACTGGTACCTAGTAAATCCTCTCCAGCCAGGATTGACTAGGCACTAATCCATAACTGTACACCTCTGTTCACCCAGCACTTCTCATGTTTCTTTTCATCAAATTTACTCTATTACACACAAACAACATTATCTGCAGAACTCACTTGTCTCTGTAAAGAAAACACCTCTTTCATAGTGGCTCTTGTCTGTTCTTCATATGCGTTTGAAGCTGATGAATCTGAGATTTGGTAGAACATTCCTGGGAATGGCAAAATATGTTGTTTCCAATTGTTTAATACATAAATGTTAATTACAATACTGTAGGTGTATTTAATCAAATCATCCATGCGTGTCACACAAATATCTCTGTACTGTATAAGTATAGTATGTGTGTGTATCAAAATGTAATTATTTGTGTATTTACAGAATGAAAATTATGCCTATGGTGTTCTGTCTTCCCAATAATCTTTATAATATGACCTTATAAACTGCTGATGGCTTTAGTATTCACCATGTTCTTATTTACATTGTTCCAACAATCCATAACCCTATTTACAAAAAGATAACGTTTGTATACATGTAATTTTTGGCACTATTGTTTCCTTAGTTTGAATTTATGACCTCTTGTTCTTGAATCTGCAGGTTTCAAAAAATCCTGTCAGTTTTATTGATTCCTGTTAATGTTGTGAATATGGTGGTCATATCATATTTTTTCTTCTGTCTTCTAGCCTCTCCTCGCGGCTCTTGTTTACCAGTTCTGGGAGCTATTTACTAGCATGTCTTTGCAGTTTTTCCAGATTATTGATGTGCTTCTTGAGATATGGGCCCCATACAACTGCTGCACGTTCCAATTTTAGTCTCTCAAAAAATCATGAATATTTTTTTTAGTAATTCACGATCCATGTACTTAAAAGCACTTCTGAAGTTGGAAAGCATAGCTTAGGCTCCTCATACAATGTCCTTCATTAGGTTGTCTGGTGACAGTCCAGAGGACCACCTCTAAATTTCTTTCTTTGTCCAACCTTGTTAATGTCTTCACATAATTTGTAGTTGTGTGGGGCTTATTTTATTCTGGTCCACATTCTATAACATGGCATTTATTCACATTGAATTTTATCTGCCATCCATTGCTCCATTCACTTATTTTTTTCCAGGTCATTTTGAAGGACACATTTACTTGTCAAAGATTCTGGGGATCAATATCCCAGTGGCCTGGTCTCTGACCAGGCCTCCTGGTTGCTGGTCTGATCAACTAGGCTGTTCAATGCGGCTGCTTGCAGCCTGACGTACGAGTCCCCTGGTATCCTTTGTAGGAGTTTGTCAAGTTCTCTTTTGAGCACTGAGAAGTTATGCTGGTATGTATTTGTGTGTGTGTGCAATTTATGCATATTCTATATAGATAGAAAGAAGGATGCCACCTCTACAGAGAATGGGGACCCATAAGCTTGGAGAAAATAAATAGCATTTGATAGTACAGTATTCGTATAGTGATGCAGATTACAATTTAGTAGATCTTGAAACAGTGAGGCTGAAAGTGGTGATTGTGATTATATTTTATACTTGTCTTTTGCAGTGATATCTATCACTTTTGTTTAATTGTAAAAAAGATAATCTTGCCCTTCTAGCTGATGATGCTCAAGTTACACAAGGATAATATATTTGGTTTCCAATATTCATCTACCGAATGAGACATGACTACCATAAATATAGGAATTTGTACAAATCTTTACTGTGCTCTTGACCTGGGCCTTAAAATCATATACAAACCTAAATATTTTGTGTCTGTACCACAGTACAGTACTGCGAACATCTTTTTTAAAATAATACTTTCATTCATGCACTACAGTACCTCTACTGTACTAGAATATTGGTAAATATCATTTCAAAATACAGTTTCACAAAAAAGCTACTCGTCTTCCATAATACTGTACAAACAAACACACTCCTTTTCTCTTATTATGCCTCTACTGTATTTACAAAAGATGTCATACCTTTATAATATCCAATGATGACAAGAACTAGAACTATTATATATGGCCACCATTTCCTTGCTCGCCTTTTAGCAAAGAAAGGATTTAAGGACACCATGATGGTCACTGTCAATTCCAGAACTCTCAACTCTTACTTCAACACACCAGCATGTATCAAGTCAACAGTTTTTCTTGTGCCGTTACACTCCAGGCCTTCATCCTGTAAAAATAGTGGCTATAATCTCAAGTAATTGCACTGTCCTGTACAGTGTATGAATTCGGTAATTAGATCTTCGGTACAAGTTTAAAAGTTCATTAACACTGAAGCATCTTAAAATTCAAGATAATGCTATGATTAAATGGTGAATGTATTAATGTTTTTATTTGCAGTAATAATGAAAATACAATAACAATAATATTAATTATAATAATAAAAATACAGGCATTTGCAAATACTGTCCAGTAAATACAGTACACAAATTTTGATTTTCAGTATTGGTATGACCAAAGTGGCATCACGACCACAACTGGGTGACAGCAGAGGTGAAATACTGTACTAATATAATAATAGTGTAGGAAAAGTGGGCCTGATATTGATAGATACAGTTACTAGCATTGATAATTTACCTGAATTTACTTGAAGACCTCAATCTATTTAGTGGCCACAACAAGGACAGGAAGCTGGCAGCTTGTTAAAGGTTGTCTTGCCCTGGACGTATTGTAGGTACCCAGGATGCTGGGTTCAATCCCCATCCTGCTCCAAAGATCTACTCGTAGCTACATCATGTTATTGTTAAATCATTGTGCATCTCAAGGAAGTGTTTGGGTACAGTAATACATTACCTACACCAGAGTGTACATAGGATATATGTAAAACTTGGATTAGCTACAAGCTTGGTGCCTTCAGACTCCTAGTGAATTCGGGCCAATCCCAGGCTGTACAATCTGTACCCTATTGTAGTTCATGGGTTAAGGTGAGCATCTGGAGTTACCCAGGACTCTGGTTCAATGCTCGTCCTGCTCCAAATATTTTCTCAATTGAGTATATAGTGTATTTACACACACAAAATTGCACATTTCCCTTTTAAAATTTAGCTGAAAAATCCTTCAGTATGTAATAAAACATACCAAAATTGCGTTTTTCTATAAAATATGTGCATCTTACAAGTCATCATATATGGTGGTAGTTTAGTTCATTTATTATGCACCCCATACTCATCTTGTGGGCAGCAGTGTTAAAGATTACAGAGGCACATTATGGCCTCGGACTGAACCCCAAAATTCATTTAGCTAAGCAAGTTAGTCTTGATAAGCTAGCTACACAGTTTAATGTATACTATTACCGTATATCGACAACGGGTTCAAGAACGATTACAGGTACAGTCTCTAAGCTAAGTAACTTACATTTGTGGTGAGCTCGTTTAATGATTTGATTTACTTATGCACATTATTTCCTACCCAGTAGGTGAGGGTGGAAAGGTTACAGTCACCCATATTTACTACTTAGCAAACTGATGATATTTGGCTAAAATTTATGGTAGTACCATACAGTAGTTCATTTCGAATTAAATATTCACACATTTCTTGAAAATTTCTTACAGCCGTCTCTAAATTCAGGTAACAAATATTGATGGAAGGTGTATGTGAATATTTTTGCTGACAATTTATCTTTGGTCAGTTCTACACTTGAATGTAATTAAAATTCTCAGATTCACTTAAAACAGAGTCTAAGCCAAGCAGTAATAACATATATTTATGGAGCCTGATGGGTGACTGGACAGCGCTCGAGGTTCGTAGTCCTAAGGGTCTGGGTTCAATCCCCCGGCGGAGGCAGAAACAAATAGGCAGTTTCTTTCACCCTGATGCTCCTGTTCATCTAGCAGTAAATAAGTACCTGGGAGTTAGACAGCTCCTACGGGCTGCTTCCTGGGGATGTGTGCATGTGAAAATTAGGATTAGAGACTGCCCAAAATGCTATGCGTGCTAGTGGCTGTACATGTAAGAACTCTTGTATATATAAATAAACAAAATAAATACAGGAGCCTGCTGATTTTATCGTATGATCCATAGATGTGTGGCTCTTCTTGCATGATAGTATGATGATAGATGGGATTGCTAGTATAGATTTCACTTTGCCTCAGATTACAAGGTTTTGTTAAAGTTGTTGGTGCATTATTATTCTAAAGTTGCTTATAGGCAATGCAAGGTTAAAGACAAATCCTTCTTTGAAGGCAGATTCTTCAGCCAATTAATCAGCTCATATCATGCATTCTGAGGCCATCATGAGATGGAATCCATATGCAGTGAACTCGTTACCATAATTAATTAGTTTACTGTATTGTGTCTAGCTTCAGACAAATGCATGTTACAATTGTGTCTTAGAATTGAACACAATTTAAGGATGATAAAGAATCATTTGCAATTAATGTCAAGTTTTGTAAACTCTATTTTTGTGATTTTTGTTTTTTTTTGCTAATACATGGCTTATTTTTTAAATACCAACAAGGCATGGATTCAAACACTGATGAAGATGAAATCGAGCAATAATAATCAATAATAAATAAAATTAGTAAATGACAGTGACCACAGTGGTCCAGAAGGTCATGAAACAACAATGACCGCATTTTGAAGGTTAACAATTATGTACCAGCGAGTACTGGCAGAACTTTACAACTGGATTACAGTACAGTACAGTACTGTATATAATTACATTACAGTACAGTACATAAATACAATACGGCAATCATTACAAATTCTGGCTGCTTCTCACACGTCAAAATAGGTAATTAAAATTCCATGATTTTATTATTCACAATTATATGGAAACACTGTGGTATACTGTATTTCTTTTTACTTGATTGCTATCACTAATTTAAATACAGTATAAGATTATTCTTCACTGAATTACTGAACTTTTATAACCTTAACATCTTACCTTGTAATAAAACATTTCTTATTCATAATGGTATAAACTTTTTCACTGGATATTGTTCATCATCTGCATCATGCACATTGATCCTGTAACAAAGAAATTGTTAAATTCTTTCTAGCTGAAAATATGTATGCTTAATTAAACAAGTTATCATATTTCATAATTTCAGAATTCAGGTTTTATTAACACATTTACACCATCTTCAAAGGAGTAAAGTTATTTGTATCTGGCCAGTGGCACCTAAAAAAAGCTACAGTGGCTGAACTATTTGAGAGAACGAAGCCAGAAAAATATTTGGATACAGTACCTTTCAATATAGTCAATAACACATTGAAACATAACACTCATCTGCAGATAAGAGCTCAAATAAAAATTAGAATATTCAATTTCAAAATGACTGCATGCTTCTTTCTAAAATTACATGAAAATAATTTGAGTGTAAAATTAAGGGATTACACTTAATTTGTTCCTTTTTTGTTTAAAGGCAGATATGTGAGAAGATACCTAGGAAGGTGTACTATGGGTAATAAACGATGTGGCCAGATACCTGCACCCCAAACATAAATTGGCCAGATACCTGCACCCCAAACATAAATTTGTCAGTTTTCGACCACTGAAACCAAGCACTGTTTAATACAGTACAGTATCTCCAAATCGCTTGAAAAAATAGCACCAATAAATGTTGACACACAAAGCTACCCTGCAGAAGAGGTATTAATACCAGACCTTAACAGTCAGTGATTCCCAAAAAATGAAAAACCAGATGAGGTTGCTAAACAAATTGAAAATGCCACAAAATAGAATTACACGTCATAGTACTGTACCACAAACCAGTAATATCAGATCTTAATACCTCGTGTTTCCCTAGGAAACATGACTAAACTTTTCCTAGTACAACCCACTAAACTTTGAAGCGTCTGAATGGCTGGTTCCATTCTGTAGAGTCCTAATAAGTTGCTCCCCTTAAATCACCAAAATACATACTTTCACAATCCATTGTACTTTCATGTACATGCAGTATATTAATAACAGTACACAGTAAATACAGTACATTAATAAAATAAAATGTAACAATTCCTTGTACACTTTCAATTTAAAATGGTTATTCGTGAACACGTAAAACAAAATTGACATAATTGTCGTATGATATACTACATATTTAAATGATGTCACATTAATGAACCAATTATTATTAATAATTCATTGTGTTGGGGGCAGCCAGTTTATGCATTCAATTCATGTTAGACTTATATCAGATTACCCCAGGGTTGAAGTATTGACCCTCTCCAGGATGATCGTAACATGCTAACTCCTAGGCACCTATTTAGTGCTAGGTGGACAGAGGCATTAGATGACAGGCAACACACCCAACCATTTCTGTCATGCCCAGGATTCGAACCCAGAATTCTCAATTGTGGGTAGAAAATGAACCAGACTGTACTACTAGGACTCTTATTATTTGTTATTTATTTATTGTTTATTTATTTATTTTTTTTTAACAAGCTTAGGTACACAGCATTGTGCTGTTATCCAGGTTATATCATTTAAAAGTGTAACAATATTGTTACTTCCCAAATAAACTAATGTTTACTTATAAATAAATACAAACACAAATATTTATTCAGGTAAAGTACATACATACAAGGTGAAATACAAAAGTTGATGGATTCATAGATAGAGCTAGTACATACAATGTTTAAAGCCACTATTACGCAAAACGTTTCAAGTAAAGTCCAGCCAATGTATGTATGATCATACACAACATATTTGAGTCTTTTAACAGTTTATGTTAATGTCTTTCTGAGAAAAATGCTTATTCACATTCAAATTATCAATATATAACAAATGTTATCATTTTTGTTAAATTAAATCTAGTTGGTAAATGTGAGAACAGTCGAGTATAAGCTTATGCAAAAGGGCTATAATGAGTGCTCAAAATACTATAATACATAAATGTGGGAGGGACAGGTGAGTAACTTCTAACACCTTTATCTTACTTAGTACATATTTGGTGTTTCTTTCCAATCGATATAATACTGTTGACTTCGTTCTCGACTCACAATTGGGAATTCTGGGTTCGATTCTCAGGCAGGGCAGAAATTTCAACAATAGATGGTTGCGCACATTTTCTTTCACCTACTGCCACTGTTTACCGAGCAGTAAATGTGGAGAGTCAGTAATTCTTGGCGAATTAATATAAGGTGGACCTCAATACAAGCCTAAAATATACAGACTTACTCCCACCATTTACCGATGCATTTCCATGGTTCACCTGCTTATTGCCACCAATTACTTGAAAACGGTGAATGCGAATTCATTTGGGTTATTGGAATTTTAATTACTAAGCTTTTACAGGACATATACAATTATCATACAGTATTAAATATATTACAAAAGAGACTCTGAAATGGCTGCTAGGTGTGCTCTATCAGGTTTGTGGGCATTATATTGTGCTGTGTTAGATACAAGTTACATTCGTACATAAAACAATTTGCCGGCAACTTTTAATACCCACCTGACCCTAACATGACCTTACCTAAGCTAATAAGTCTTAACCTAATGATATACTGTACAGTTTTAACACTCGGAAAATAAGCTTTGTCGAACCATCTTATCTATGATTTGACAATACTCGGTTGTCTTTACACTGGCATGTATAGTTTTTACAAATCCCAAATTATGTGTATATATATATATTTATTTATATATACAAGAGTTCTTACATTCTTGTACAGCCACTAGCACGCATAGCATTTCGGGCAAGTCCTTAATCCTATGTTCCCCGGAATACGACCCGCCATATCGTTTAACAACCAGGTACCCATTTTAATGTTGTGTAAACAGAGGCTACAGTTAAGGATTGGCGCCCAGTAAATCCTCCCCGGCCAGGATACGAACCCAGGACAAAGCGCTCGCGAAATGCCAGGTGAGTCATAATCACATCATAATCAAATAATATCATAATCAAATATCATAATCAAAATATATCATAACCATGCTCAGTGAACCACAATATATGACCCAAGTAGCAAATTTTAACTGCTCATAGCCTTATATTATGACTCTTAAAACTGATCAAGTCAGTATATGGAGCATACAAACTGTGTGTACAAAGAATTAGAATTAATGGATATAGGGTAGTACAGTTCTCGATTCTCAATCGGAAATCCGAGGTTCGAATCCTGGGAGGAACAAAAATGGTTGGGCCTATTTCCTTTCATCTAATGCATCTGTTCACCATGCAGTAAACAGGTACCAAGGAGTTAACTGTTGTGGGGTCAGCCGTTTGACTTATGGGGGGAGGAGGGGAGGAATGGTATTTCGATATAAGCCTAACGTATGTACATATACATGCCTGCCTGTCCCCGAAAAAAGAAGTAATGGGATAAGCAGCATACTGAAACCTCGTCGATTTTTGCGGTCGATCAAATTAGGAATTGTCAACACACACACATACACACTGTTGCTGTTTGAGTGAAAAATTATTTAAATCCTGTGGTCTAAATCACTGAAAAACTATTTAAATCCCGTGAAGACGGTGTCGTGGAGTCTCAGCCGTCGTCGTCGTCTAGAAGAGTGTGAATACAAGTCACTTGGTACTGAAGACAGATCGAACACATGTATATATATTTTTACCATTTCGCGCACACAGTTTGTACGTTCCGTATACATTTTTTTATGATTTATTTATTTATATATACATACAAAAGTTTTTTTTTTTTTTAGATATATACAAGAGTTGTTACATTCTTGTACAGCCACTAGTACGCGTAGCGTTTCGGGCAAGTCCTTAATCCTATGGTCCCTGGAATACGATCCCCTGCCGCGAAGAATCGTTTTTTCATCCAAGTACACATTTTACTGTTGCGTTAAACAGAGGCTACAGTTAAGGAATTGCGCCCAGTAAATCCTCCCCGGCCAGGATACGAACCCATGACATAGCGTTCGCGGAACGCCAGGCGAGTGTCTTACCACTACACCACGGAGACTGTTAACTACACCACGGAGACACGGAGACACGGAGACACGGAGTTCCTACATACTTGTACAGCCACTAGCACGTATAGCGTTTCATAAACCCTTCATCAGGTCCTTAATTCTAATTTTCCCCGGAATACGACCTGTCAAGTCATTTAACAACCTGCCGGAAACGCTATACATGTTAGTGGCTTTACAAGAAAGTAAGAACTTTTGTATATATATATAAATAAATAAATATATATTAGGCTCATGTATATATAAATTTAGGGTCCCGGTAATACAGTCGGGTTCGTTCCTAATCCCGGATTAGAATCCCGGGCGGGACAGAAATGGTTGGGCGCATTTCCTATCACCTAATGCCGCTGTTCACCTAGCAGTGAGTAGGTACCTAGGAATTAGTCAGCTTGTTGTGGGTTGCATCCTGGGGCAAGGGTGCTCCATATAAGCCTAACGTGTATGAATACACTCTGGCTGTCTGTCCCCCGACACAATGAATAATTATGAATTCAAATAAAACAAAAATTAGAAGCAACAGGTTATTGTACTTGAGCGAGATTTTTCAACTCATTATGCTTCCCACTCTTCGTTTAATTTGGATCTTTGTACACAGGTATACACATTTCATAATACATACTCTTTCAAGGTTTCTGTATGCATGTAGGAAGGGGGGGGGTAGAAATAGCCTAAGCTACTTTATCCCTTTGAGATGTATTTTTTCTTGTCTTAATAAACATGAACTTGTATGCATGTAGCCTGTTTCTGCATTTGTACATGTAATTTTTTTTCTACCACAGACGTGGCCACACATTTACAATGCTAAGCAGCATATATACATTTTCTTCTGTCCTCCATGGACAGGGTTAGAGAAGTGTTAAACATACAGTTCAAGGGTTTATTGAACACTCAACCACAGAAGGTGATTCGGTGCTTTTAAAATGCTAAGCTAACCTACATACGTAAATACATAGATAACTGGGTAATTATAAAGTAATTAGTTGTAAATTATTTAGGATTACTTGTGCATAGGCGATAGTCATCCTTTGTCATTATTGTTAAGTGCATCATTTATAATTCTCAGATGAATTTCTAACCTTGCATACTTTTGTTACGTACTTGTATGTGCGGGTGCATGTGCCCCTACTTACGTAAAATAGGTATACAAGTATAGTTATTAAGGCCGCTAAACATATATTCCTGTATATGAATCACATCATCATAGGCTGCAACTCGCAGTTGCAATTTTCTAGCAACTGCATTTGCAACTTTCTAGCAACCGCGAAGCTGCAATAATTTCCAGCAGCTTCAGTTGCACATTACTAGCAACTGCAGTTGCACAACATTCCATGCAACTTACAGTTGCAAATATTTTATTATTACTAATTTTAAATTAATAAAAAGTTATACCGCCTATGGTGTATATGCACACAAATGTGACACTCTGGGTATGAAGGGAGGAATATTTAGCACCTATAATGGGAGGAGGAATGACAGATTATTTCTGTAGTTACAGCCCCGCTCCTGTGCCAGGTAAGTCCACTACGGGCTCACCATAGCCGGTGCTACTTGGAACTTTTTGTTCCCAGTAGCTGATTCTAATACAACAACAACAAATAGATTATCTAACCCCGACGTGAATGACTCGCCTCTAGTTGTCTGGGGTCACAATGTGGGTCTTGTATATGGCGCTGATAAAGAGGAGCCGCTCTCGTAACTTCATCACCGATAACGCCTTTTATGTGAAGCCACAGTGATAGCGGCCTGGTAGGGGCTGTTGGTGAGCCAAGGGGTATCGTAGGGACCTGGTAGGGGCTGTTGTGAGCTAGGGGTATCGTAGGGACCTGGTAGGGGCTGTTGTGAGCTAGGGGTATCGTAGGGACCTGGTAGGGGCTGTTGTGAGCTAGGGGTATCGTAGGGACCTGGTAGGGGCTGTTGTGAGCTAGGGGTATCGTAGCGACCTGGTAGGGGCTGTTGATAGCCGGGAGAATCGTTAGTAGACCAGTAGGTGCTACCTTCAAAGAAGGATTTGACTATATCCTTGGATTCCTTACAAGCAACTTCACAATAGTACAACAAGAACTTCAACAAAAACCTTGTAGATCTCAGGCAAAGTAAAATCTGCACTTGCAGTTCCACCCATCATCAAACTATCATGCAAGAAGAGCCACACATCAATGGTTTGATCATGCCATACAATCAGCAGATTACTAAATGTTATTACGTACTGCTCGTCTTAGACTTGGTTATCCGTATCTCTGAATATTTGTATTACCTGTTGATATAGATTATTGGTACATGATAGCACTTATAAGGGGAGCTACTCCATCACCATCGCTATGTGATGGAGTACGAAAAGATACATGGATTTAGAGACTTTTATAACCAATGGTCAAGAAATGCATAAGTTTTTAATTAAAAATGATCTACTAGTTGAAATTTTCGTCAATTATCCCCATTTGGCTAAATATAGGTAGTGAATAAGTGATTATAATCTTTCTATCGGCGGCCACTCCACGGGTGTGGGATGTATGATAGACAAATTACAATAATATGTAATAGGCTTGACAAACACACTTTCACTCTCTGTGTTACGGCCTCTAAAGGCCACAGTTTGATAAACTTTAAAGATACTGTTGGTTTATGTTAAATTATGCAATATCTCATTATTGCTGTAACTTTCTTAGCTAAACGAATTCGGGATTTCTAAACCCATTATTTGTCTCTAACCTTTTCACATTACCGCCTACAAAAGTGAGCAAATTAAGTAAAATAAACTAACGACATAGGTTAAGTTAGGATATGTTTGTCTAAAGAGTAGCGATGACATAAGTCGTCATATCTTTGGACCCTTTTTGAATAGCCTCAACACCGGGCTGACACACTCAGTCGCGCAGTGACTGTGAGAGGTGATACACGTCGTCCGTCTCTTCTGTTCTCAGGACTGAGGAGTTACTACACCCTTCAAGGACACCTCGGGGAGGGGTTAGAGCATGCCAGAATACCTGCCGTGAGCACCAGCAGGATATGACCCGTCACGACCCACCTCCTGCAGGAGTTCGGGATTACTGTCGTATCCCAGAACACAGTAAGGAAGATAACATACTCCTATAGCTTTTGAATACCTGTGTACCATAAACTACGTTGATATATATAACATGTTTAAACGACTAAGCATTATTTACATGGCCAGACGTGTCTATGTGCAGATTATGGCGTGTGGGACGCTACGGAAAAGACGGCCATGTTGCGGGCCGGGGACAAGCTGCCTAATTCCTATGGCAGTATAGGAGGGGGCGGGGAAGAACCCCTCCACAACCACTGCAACAACCACCCACAACCCGCCCCCTCCTCCACTTCCATCACAACCACCCCCACCAGGTTCTGGGTCCTTGCTGTCTTCTCCATACTCTCGTGGGTCGAGGTTAGTTGGAACTATCTGTATTTGTAGGTGAGGCTTCCACCTGTGGTAGGTGTAGGGCAGGCTTACTGCCACCTGTGGTGGGTGTAGGCCAGGATTACTGCCACCTGTGGTGGGTGTAGGCCAGGATTACTGCCACCTGTGGTGGGTGTAGGCCAGGATTACTGCCACCTGTGGTGGGTGTAGGCCAGGATTACTGCCACCCTGCCACCTGTGGTGGGTGTAGGCCAGGCTTACTGCCACCTGTGGTGGGTGTAGGCCAGGCTTACTGCCACCTGTGGTGGGTGTAGGCCAGGCTTACTGCCACCTGTGGTGGGTGTAGGCCAGGCTTACTGCCACCTGTGGTGGGTGTAGGCCAGGCTTACTGCCACCTGTGGTGGGTGTAGGCCAGGCTTACTGCCACCTGTGGTGGGTGTAGGCCAGGCTTAACATCCACCTGTGGTGGGTGTAGGCCAGGCTTAGTTAACATCCACCTGTGGTGGGTGTAGGCCAGGCTTAGTTAACATCCACCTGTGGTGGGTGTAGGCCAGGCTTAGTTAACATCCACCTGTGGTGGGTGTAGGCCAGGCTTAGTCAACATCCACCTGTGGTGGGTGTAGGCCAGGCTTACTTCCACTTGTGGCAAGGGCAAGTAAACAATATTTTAGCTTAAAATATTGTTTACTTATGGTAAGTGCAAGTTCCGTGTGGCTCATGTAGATGATGAGTATTTCAAGTGTGAGGCAGTTGTAAATCATATATTTCATTTTGAGACAGTTGTAAGTCAGATATATTTCAGTGTGACGTGTGAAAGTCGTTTACTTATGTATGCCTGATGCAGACGTATCTACTGTATTATCAGTTATACATGTCAGATGTATCATCAGGTATACATGTTTGATGTTTTTTTAGGTATACTTTTCTGTTGTATTACGCGGAATTTAGAGATAACACCATCAATAGTGTCCAAGAAATGTGTAAGTACTTCATTCATAATGATGTGCTGCCCGAAATCTTAGCGAAATATCCAAAATTTGCTTACTGCAATGCATGCATATGACTGTAAAGCTGCCGCCCAGTTGGGTGGGTGTGCAGCAGGACTAGTAACTGTGCGACTCATTATAGATGTAAAGTCCCCTTGTATTGTAACTGTTGTGAGCCTCTTGTTGAATCACTTGTGACGCAAAAGATTATTGATGTGTGTATTTGTGTGATAAAATATGTATGTGTATGTATATATGTATACGTATGTATATGTACATGTATGCATGAGTATGTGTAAATGTATATATAACATTAATAATTTTGTAACTAGCGTCAAAAGATTGTTATTTGCTTAGCTAAACGAACTAGAGGGTTCATTTCCTGAACCGATTATGTGCCTCTGTAATCCTTTACACCACCGCCCACGGGATGGGTATGGGGGTGCATAATAAAGAAAGAAATTGAAATTGAATTACGTCTTACGATGGCTATAGGTTTCATAACAGTTTTTAAAATAATAGATATAATATCAATCTATCTTCACTGAATGGGCTATTTAATACCCAACGTTACGTCAATATATTACTAAGCACAGCAAAAAAAAAAAAAATAGATGCTCATTTGTAAACAGAGCATAGTAGCCTGACCACATAAAGGGCCGCTGTATGGCATAGGTGTATTACGGAACCGCCTGCTGCCTTATCAGCTGGTTATCAGTTAAGTGGCATGCTGATATCGTTGATAGCAACTAAAACTCTTGAGTTACATCGCTCGTATAATGAGGTCTACACCCCTTGATAGACTTGGCTACACTGATAGTGACCTCGCTACAGTGCTAAACTGACAGTGACCTCTTTAGCCAAGCTTATATACAGGTACAGAGCATGTGGAATGTTTCACTTATAAAATCGCAGTGGGTGGGGGGAGGATACTTCTGATGTCCATATTTATTTATTTAAATATATATATATATATATATATATATATATATATATATATATATATATATATATATATATATATATATATATATATAATATAGTAGGCATCCATCAGTCTCAGGAGACTATGGAGTTGCGCTCTGGTTGTCGGTCTGGAGTGGCCTCACCAGGGCGCAAAGCCAGGGTAGGTTGATTCGGGGGAGAAGCTGTTACCCAGGCAGCAGGTCCCCCCCTCTCCACGGCGTTGAAAGTCTCCAATGGAAAGGCATACGCCAATACGATTGGTAATATATATTACCAATACAATATATATATATATGCGGAAAATCCACAGAGAAATATGAAAGGAGGTGAACGTTTCGGCTTTGTTAAAGCCTTTGTCAACACCAGACTGAGTCTGGTGTTGACAAAGGCTTTAACAAAGCCGAAACGTTCACCTCCTTTCATATTTCTCTGTGGATTTTCCGCATAAAATGATCAGTGTTTTGTGATCGTCAATTGCATGCATATATATATATATATATATATATATATATATATATATATATATATATATATATATATATATATATATATATATATATATATATATATATGTCGTACCTAGTAGCCAGAACTCACTTATCAGCCTACTATGCAAGGCCCGATTTGCCTAATAAGCCAAGTTTTCCCGAATTAATATATTTTCTCTAATTTTTATCTTATGAAATGATAAAGCTACCCATTTCATTATGTATGAGGTCAATTGTTTTTTATTGGAGATAAAATTAACGTAGATATATGACCGAACCTAACCAACCCTACCTAACCTAACCTAACCTATCTTTATAGGTTAGATTAGGTTAGGTAGCCGAAAAAGTTAGGTTAGGTTAGGTTAGGTAGGTTAGGTTGTCGAAAAACAATTAATTCATGAAAACTTGGCTTATTAGGCAAATTGGGCCTTGCATAGTAGGCTGAGAAGTGCGTTCTGGCTACTAGGTACGACATATATATATATATGAACCCAATGTACAAGAAGGTACATTGGGTTTATGAGGGTACATAACATTGATGTTTTTACATTCTTGTAAAAACCACTAACACCCATAACGTTTCGTTTCGGGTTTCTTATTCTTAAAGCAAGACACTTGGGCATGCCATTCCTATCCATCTGGAAAAATACAGATTGACACTACCTACAGCATGGCTTTACTAAAGTTTTGAAACAGAACTGAATACCAACATTTTATATAAAACCTGCCTCGCGTGGATAATTTGTCCTTGCGAGTAATATGTCGTATTTTGACGTCAAAATCCCCAACGGACGAAATATGTTGTATTCGCATTCACGTTTTCTGTGGGTGGGTCGGTAGGTTAGGTTAGGGCAATTTAGTACACAATTGTCTGTATGTTGTGACAATTGGAGAGGCATGGAATACTCAGCCCGTCCTCTCTCTTAGGGTGTAACGTCATCAAAATTCTATATTAAATTGGCCGAACCTGACCGAACTGAAGACAGTTTTGTGAGCCGCTATGATTTATAGTATACCATATTTTGACCGTTGGGGATTTATACGTCAAAATGCGATGTACTGTTCAAGAGGGCCCATGAAGCCACCAGGCTTCATGCAGTTTCCTCTTTTCTTATTGTGTTATTACCTGTGAGGGTTGTCTCCCCAGGGGATGCAGTGGAACACCTGGGGGCCCATCAGCGAGAGCATGGAGGCGGCGTTCCCCGGGTGGGGGTCGTCCACGGTGGCCATGATGTCCGGCTGGGGCACCACCATGTTCGTGGTCTTCGTCTTCCCCATGTGCTGGGCCACGCTGCGCTACGGCCTGCGCTCCGTCGTCGTCGCCAGCGCGGTACTGATCTTCCTGGGCACGGCGCTCCGCTGCCTCACTCGCGCCCTTCCCACCTTCACCATGTGAGTTCCTTCCCCTCCGTCCCATCCCAGATCCTTATCCCCTTCCAGGTGTTATATGGTCGTGACGTTCTCGCACTTGCTTCAGTCAATATTGGCTTATTTAATAAGTGCATATGTGACATACTAATTGATTGTGAATATTTTAGTTTACCTTGAAAAGCTTCATAGAAAACACCAACCTCACCTAACCTTCTTAGTATGTTTGTAAATAAGAAGCAATAAGATGCTTATCTTAACATACTAAAAAGGTTAGGTGAGTTCGGTGTTTTCTATGAAGCTTTTCAAGGTAAACTAAAATATTCACAACCAATTAGTATGTCACATATGCACTTATTAAATAAGCCAATATTGACTATAAAGCAAGTGCGAGAACGGGTTGTGTCGTAATGGCTTGGCGCTTTCCCCTTGATAATTCCCTCCCTCTTCTTGTTTTTTCAGAGTGAAATTATTTCCAGAAGTATTACGTAATTATGAAAAAAATATGAGAGTGTTAAGACATTCTGAATCCTGTAGCACAGTAGTCTACGTTCCCGACTCACTATACTGACCGTTAAGAGCATATCCCTGGAAACACAAACCGTAACTGTCTCTATTTTCCGCTTGTTACAACTTGCAATAAAGTTGCTACATCTTGGCATAACGTGTTTATGACGTATTAGAACGTTGTTACAACTTGCTATATTGGTTGTTATAACTGGTTAGGTGGTGTTAAACCTTGTTCGAACGTTGTACCAACGTCGTAGTTTCGGTGTGTGTTTGGCGGGATGTGGGATATGTGGCCAGTTGGGAATGTTTAGTATGGCATAGGCTGCTCTTGACTCACTGTAGCCCTTAACATATTGTGCAGGTCACATATGAGCTGCCCTACGCTATGTGAGTCTAGGGCAGCTGCATATATGACCACGTCTTGACGTAGTATGATGAGGATAACAAGAAAAATATAAAAAACGCTACACTTGATATACCCGCGGGGTATAACCTCGTGTGTTCAAGTACGTTTATTGAGACAATAACATGCATCTCAAAGGGGTAGAGTAGCTTAGGCTCCATCCTCTGTGTCCCCGTGTGTGCAGCATGTGTTATAACCTCACATGTGTCCCCGTGTGTGCAGCATGTGTTATAACCTCACATGTGTCCCCGTGTGTGCAGCACGTGTTATAACCTCACATGTGTCCCCGTGTGTGCAGCATGTGTTATAACCTCACATGTGTCCCCGTGTGTGCAGCACGTGTTATAACCTCACATGTGTCCCCGTGTGTGCAGCATGTGTTATAACCTCACATGTGTCCCCGTGTGTGCAGCATGTGTTATAACCTCACATGTGTCCCCGTGTGTGCAGCATGTGTTATAACCTCACATGTGTCCCCGTGTGTGCAGCATGTGTTATAACCTCACATGTGTCCCCGTGTGTGCAGCATGTGTTATAACCTCACATGTGTCCCCGTGTGTGCAGCATGTGTTATAACCTCACATGTGTCCCCGTGTGTGCAGCATGTGTTATAACATCACATGTGTCTCCGTGTGTGCAGCATGTGTCACGTGTGTGCGGCACTGGTGGGGGTGTCGAGCACTCTGGTGTTGTCGGCGCCTACGCTCATCGCCTGCGACTGGTTCCCCGCCCACGAGAGGACTACAGCTCTCGGTCAGTATACCCTGGTTCTCTTTTTCGTCGCCCTTGTTCTCTTCTATGTCCTCCTTGTTCTCTTATATATCTTCCTTGTTGTCTTCTAAACGTGTTCTCTTCTACGCCTTAATCCTTCATCTCCTCTAAGTCTTATTCCTTCTACGTCTTAATCTATCTTCAGTTTTACCTCTATTTCTTGTTCCTTTCTTAATTCTTCCTTCCAACTGCTCTTCGTCTCTTAAGGTTTCTCTCTCTCTTGATTATCTGATCAACTTACATATGGCCATCTTCACTTGGTCCATAAATACTCATACTCGGCCCAAGTAAAACAGAAACAAGCAACACTTAGTGGGCCAGCCAGAGGCTTAGGGTCCGCGCAGGAATATCCCTGCAAAAAAAAAAAAAATACACTTGGTCATCTACATTTAATCAATCTATACTTGATTAAGTGTAGAAAACATTTTGCCTTTACCGGCAAAATGTTATCTTCAGTCAACTTTATCTCAAGTCGAGAGTTGATTTTTGTATCAACATTTTATGCTGATGCTCATTTTTTTTAGGGTCACATACAGTTTTGTTTATGCTCAATTTTTATCAGCATTTTATGCCCCGTTCTTCTTCCGCTTCCTTTTCTTCCCCTCCAACCTGCCTAATTGTTCACTTCTTTCTTTTCACCCAATTTTTCCCTTAATCCTTCCTTTCTTTTCACTTTCTCTCCTCCGTTCCATCATTCTCTTTCCCCTCCATTCTTGCGCCCACACTAACCCCACCGCCCTCTCCCAGAGCAGCTGTGATGCTAGGGGCCAGTCAGCTGAGCGGTCTGGGCAGCTTCCTGGAGCCGCTGCTGGTCCGGCTGCCAGGACCTCACGTCTCTCCTCTCGATATACAGACAGATGTTATGAAACTCCTCTACATAGGTGAGGCCTTTCTAGCTCCTTAAAGTTACAGCCCCGCTCCTGTGCCAGGTAAGTCCACTACGGGCTCACCATAGCCCGTGCTACTTGGAACGTTTTGTTCCCAGTAGCTGAATCCTAAACAACAACAGCTCCTTCATATCGTTTAGGACTATAGGCTATACTTGCTGGTTGGTCTGGGAACACACAACGCATAGGTTCGAAGCCTCATCAAGACTCCTGTAGATTTGTTCTTTGATATCTCACGTTAATGTGATTTCTCTGTTTATGGTGTAGTAAGCTATTGTTGTGGCCTTAATAACCCGGCCGAAGTTGATAGGCTATAAGCCCAACACTCAATCAAGCCTCATTTACATTACGTGGGTGAATCATTATATATTTCAATGAAACACGTTTCAGTCTGAAGCTTCGAGTAAATTGTAAACATTGCCAACTATCTTCGCGGTGTAATAATTAAATATTGCCATATTCGTCGACTGCATGGATTTGCGAGTCCCTTGAGGGAGCTGTAATAGAGGAGGATAGAAAGAAAATGTACTATTATCACAGCAAACTTACATGAACTTGAACCGTCGACAAATCTGTTTATTTTTATTTTATTTTTTTACTTTTGCTGCCAGACTGATCGAAGCATTAGCGTGATATGGGTTTCATTCATTTCCAGCCCATAGCGTAAAAACTCTAGCATAGTCGTCTACATCATTGGCTGACAACCGTGCAGGGCGGAAATGATTGGGCACGTTTCATGGCTTCTGATGCCTCTATTTACCTAGCAGTAAATAGGTCCTCAGGAGACTTAATCAGAAAGCATAGAATTGCCTTGGAGCCAGTCCTTAACTGTTCGCCTCTGTTCATCCAGCATTAATTGGGTACCTGGTTGTTAACCGATTGGCGGGTCGTGTTCCAGGGAAAACTAGTAGGGCAAGGCGTACCATGATCTATGGGAAGGCAAAGCTCTCGGCCTGTTAACAGGAGTCAGAAGTCGTCTGCTCCTGTACCCACCTGTGTAAAAATAAAAACAAATTAACCTAAGCCTAATTATATACAAAACCTTAATATTTAATAATATCATTATTAATAAATATTAGGATTTCGTGCATAATTATTAAATATTTTAAATATACATTTGAAATTATGTCATGCACAGTGAATAAGTTACAATAACGTGGTTGAAGCCAATAACTCAACCCCACGTGCGTGAGATGAGTGACTATAATGTCTAGTGAGATGAGTGACTAATAATGTCCAGTGAGATGAGTGACTAATAATGTCCAGTGAGATGATAGTGACTAATGTCCAGTGAGATGATAGTGACTAATGTCCAGTTACCGGGACACAGACGCGGGCGTGGCGGGGGTGCTGCTGTTGGCGATACTGGTCTACTTCCCGTCTAAACCGTCCCGGCCACCATCCCTCACCTCAACCACCACCAGACTTGACCTGATCCCGGGCCTCTGTACCCTTGTCAGGTGAGACACTCTTTATTAACCTAACCTATCCTGACCTAACTGAACTTAGCCTAGCCTAATCTATCCTGATTTAATCTAGCCTAACTTAACCTATTTATTTATTTTTTATGGGTCTTATTCTCCTTAAAGTACCAATTGTATCCATCAACTTGTATCTATCCCCGCTTGAATAATTCATCAGCAGGAACTCTTCAAACTTGGCCAAGCAGGTATTCACGACAAATTGGTTCTCCAGGCATTCTTCCCGCCTGTTAGATCACGCCAGAGCAGGCATCATTGTCTATCCCAAGCCTGGAGCACAACGAGAGATAGTGAACAGTTACCAGAAATCTAGAGAATGGATGTTAATTCAGGTAAATGTTTTCAGGAACCGGCGGTGGCTGGGTTTGGTGTTGACGTATGGCGCCGTGGTGGGTCCCGCCATCGGCTGGCTCACGGTCCTCAACTACTCCCTCATCCCACTGGGGCTTCACCAGGTACTCTCACCCATCTTCTCTCACTTGGCCTACACCAGGTACCTCCGCCCTATCTGGGCTTATACCAAACGCTTCAATTTCTCACATGAAAGCCTATTTCTTTAGACTTCCGTAGCTTTCAGTGATCATTAATACAAATTTTGATTGTGTATATCAATAATTCCCGGAGTTATTACGAGTGACCTCGACCCCCTTCCCCTCTGCAGGACGAGACAATGTGGATAGGTCAGGCGACGGTGCTGGTGTCGAGCGTGTCACCGTTGGTATCTGGTCGCTTCACGGACCTGGTGCAGGGACACGTGAGGGCGTCCCTGGTGGGGCTCATGCTGGCCACCACTGTCTGCTTCTATTGGTTCCTCCTCCTCTCCTATGGCGTCCTCCCCTTCACCAAGTGTAAGTCACGCCCGGCGCGCGCCGCGTTTGTGTCGTACTTTGATAAAGGTTTATATAATAGATTTGTATATCTTAAGGTTCTTTACACTAATACAGCACAAAAATCATGTGAGGCCATGGTGTATGTGTTGAAGTCAGACATCTGCAGACACAAAAGCTTACTGTTAGTAGGCGTCCACTGCAGACACAAAAGCTTAATGTTAGTAGGCGTCCACTGCAAACAAAAAAGCTTACTGATAGTAGGCGTCCACTGCAGACACAAAAGCTTACTGTTAGTAGGCGTCCACTGCAGACACAAAAGCTTACTATTAGTAGGCGTCCACTGCAGACACAAAAGCTTACTGAGAGTAGGCGTCCACTGCAGACACAAAAGCTTACTGTTAGTAGGCGTCCACTGCAGACACAAAAGCTTACTGATAGTAGGCGTCCACTGCAGACACAAAAGCTTACTGATAGTAGGCGTCCACTGCAGACACAAAAGCTTACTGTTAGTGGGCGTCCACTGCAGACACAAAAGCTTACTGTTAGTGGGCGTCCACTGCAGACACAAAAGCTTACTGTTAGTAGGCGTCCACTGCAGACACAAAAGCTTACTGTTAGTAGGCGTCCACTGCAAACAAAAAAGCTTACTGATAGTAGGCGTCCACTGCATACACATATAAGCTTACTGTTAGTAGGCGTCCACTGCAGACACAAAAGCTTACTGTTAGTAGGCGTCCACTGCAGACACAAAAGCTTACTGTTAGTAGGCGTCCACTGCAGACACAAAAGCTTACTGTTAGTGGGCGTCCACTGCAGACACAAAAGCTTACTATTAGTAGGCGTCCACTGCAGACACAAGCTTACTGTTAGTGGGCGTCCACTGCAGACACAAAAGCTTACTGTTAGTGGGCGTCCACTGCAGACACAAAAGCTTACTGTTAGTGGGCGTCCACTGCAGACACATATAAGCTTACTGTTAGTAGGCGTCCACTGCAGACACAAAAGCTTACTGTTAGTAGGCGTCCACTGCAGACACAAAAGCTTACTGTTAGTAGGCGTCCACTGCAGACACAAAAGCTTACTGTTAGTGGGCGTCCACTGCAGACACAAAAGCTTACTGTTAGTAGGCGTCCACTGCAGACACAAAAGCTTACTGTTAGTAGGCGTCCACTGCAGACACAAAAGCTTACTGTTAGTAGGCGTCCACTGCAGACAAAAGCTTACTGTTAGTGGGCGTCCACTGCAGACACAAAAGCTTACTGTTAGTGGGCGTCCACTGCAGACACAAAAGCTTACTGTTAGTAGGCGTCCACTGCAGACACAAAAGCTTACTGATAGTAGGCGTCCACTGCAGACACAAAAGCTTACTGTTAGTAGGCGTCCACTGCAGACACAAAAGTTTACTGTTAGTAGGCGTCCACTGCAGACACAAAAGCTTACTGTTAGTAGGCGTCCACTGCAGACACAAAAGCTTACTGATAGTAGGCGTCCACTGCAGACACAAAAGCTTACTGATAGTAGGCGTCCACTGCAGACACAAAAGCTTACTGATAGTAGGCGTCCACTGCAGACACAAAAGCTTACTGTTAGTGGGCGTCCACTGCAGACACAAAAGCTTACTGTTAGTGGGCGTCCACTGCAGACACAAAAGCTTACTGTTAGTGGGCGTCCACTGCAGACACATATAAGCTTACTGTTAGTAGGCGTCCACTGCAGACACAAAAGCTTACTGTTAGTAGGCGTCCACTGCAGACACAAAAGCTTACTGTTAGTAGGCGTCCACTGCAGACACAAAAGCTTACTGTTAGTAGGCGTCCACTGCAGACACAAAAGCTTACTGTTAGTAGGCGTCCACTGCAGACACAAAAGCTTACTGTTAGTAGGCGTCCACTGCAAACAAAAAAGCTTACTGATAGTAGGCGTCCACTGCAAACAAAAAAGCTTACTGATAGTAGGCGTCCACTGCAGACACAAAAGCTTACTGATAGTAGGCGTCCACTGCAGACACAAAAGCTTACTGTTAGTGGGCGTCCACTGCAGACACAAAAGCTTACTGTTAGTGGGCGTCCACTGCAGACACAAAAGCTTACTGTTAGTGGGCGTCCACTGCAGACACATATAAGCTTACTGTTAGTAGGCGTCCACTGCAGACACAAAAGCTTACTGTTAGTAGGCGTCCACTGCAGACACAAAAGCTTACTGTTAGTAGGCGTCCACTGCAGACACAAAAGCTTACTGTTAGTAGGCGTCCACTGCAGACACAAAAGCTTACTGTTAGTAGGCGTCCACTGCAGACACAAAAGCTTACTGTTAGTAGGCGTCCACTGCAGACACAAAAGCTTACTGTTAGTAGGCGTCCACTGCAAACAAAAAAGCTTACTGATAGTAGGCGTCCACTGCAGACACAAAAGCTTACTGATAGTAGGCGTCCACTGCAGACACAAAAGCTTACTGTTAGTAGGCGTCCACTGCAGACACAAAAGCTTACTGTTAGTGGGCGTCCACTGCAGACACAAAAGCTTACTGTTAGTGGGCGTCCACTGCAGACACATATAAGCTTACTGTTAGTAGGCGTCCACTGCAGACACAAAAGCTTACTGTTAGTAGGCGTCCACTGCAGACACAAAAGCTTACTGTTAGTAGGCGTCCACTGCAGACACAAAAGCTTACTGTTAGTAGGCATCCACTGCAGACACAAAAGCTTACTGTTAGTAGGCGTCCACTGCAGACACAAAAGCTTACTGTTAGTAGGCGTCCACTGCAGACACAAAACCTTACTGTTAGTGGGCATCCTACAGGGCAGGTGTACGTCAGTGTGGTGGGAGGAGTCGCCTTCAACTACGCAACTATTCCTCTCTTCTACGAGATGGGGATCGACCTGGCTTATCCGGCGCCGGAGATCCTGGTGTCTGGGGCCATCACCGCCGCCGACAATCTCACCACCACCCTCTTCCTCTCCATTTTCTTCATACCCAACGTTGGTAAGAATTTTTTGTTGTAATAATGATACCACGTAAATGTAGTTTAGTTCATTATACACCCCTATACTCATCATGTGAGAGGAAGTGGACCCCATACCCATCATGTGAGAGGAAGTGGACCCCATACCCATCATGTGAGAGGAAGTGGACCCCATACCCATCATGTGAGAGGAAGTGGACCCCATACCCATCATGTGAGAGGAAGTGGACCCCATACCCATCATGTGAGAGGAAGTGGACCCCATACCCATCATGTGAGAGGAAGTGGATAAGTTTACAGCAGTATATGTACAAACGAACTGAAGGGTAACAATATACTGACGGGTAACAATATACTGACGGGTAACAATATACTGACGGGTAACAATATACTGACGGGTAACAATATACTGACGGGTAACAATATACTGACGGGTAACAATATACTGAAGGATAACAATATACTGAAGGGTAACAATATACTGAAGGATAACAATATACTGACGGGTAACAATATACTGAAGGATAACAATATACTGACGGGTAACAATATACTGACGGGTAACAATATACTGAAGGATAACAATATACTGACGGGTAACAATATACTGAAGGATAACTATACTGAAGGGTAACAATATACTGAAGGATAACAATATACTGACGGGTAACAATATACTGAAGGATAACAATATACTGACGGGTAACAATATACTGACGGGTAACAATATACTGAAGGGTAACAATATACTGAAGGATAACAATATACTGAAGGGTAACAATATACTGAAGGATAACAATATACTGACGGGTAACAATATACTGAAGGATAACAATATACTGAAGGATAACAATATACTGACGGGTAACAATATACTGACGGGTAACAATATACTGAAGGATAACAATATACTGACGGGTAACAATATACTGAAGGATAACAATATACTGAAGGGTAACAATATACTGAAGGATACCAATATACTGACGGGTAACAATATACTGAAGGATAACAATATACTGACGGGTAACAATATACTGACGGGTAACAATATACTGAAGGATAACAATATACTGAAGGGTAACAATATACTGAAGGATAACAATATACTGAAGGGTAACAATATACTGAAGGATAACAATATACTGACGGGTAACAATATACTGAAGGATAACAATATACTGAAGGATAACAATATACTGACGGGTAACAATATACTGAAGGATAACAATATACTGAAGGATAACAATATACTGAAGGATAACAATATACTGAAGGGTAACAATATACTGAAGGATAACAATATACTGACGGGTAACAATATACTGACGGGTAACAATATACTGACGGGTAACAATATACTGAAGGATAACAATATACTGACGGGTAACAATATACTGAAGGATAACAATATACTGAAGGATAACAATATACTGACGGGTAACAATATACTGAAGGATAACAATATACTGACGGGTAACAATATACTGACGGGTAACAATATACTGAAGGATAACAATATACTGACGGGTAACAATATACTGAAGGGTAACAATATACTGAAGGATAACAATATACTGAAGGATAACAATATACTGAAGGATAACAATATACTGAAGGATAACAATATACTGAAGGATAACAATATACTGACGGGTAACAATATACTGAAGGATAACAATATACTGACGGGTAACAATATACTGACGGGTAACAATATACTGAAGGATAACAATATACTGAAGGGTAACAATATACTGAAGGATAACAATATACTGAAGGATAACAATATACTGAAGGATAACAATATACTGAAGGATAACAATATACTGAAGGATAACAATATACTGACGGGTAACAATATACTGAAGGATAACAATATACTGACGGGTAACAATATACTGAAGGATAACAATATACTGAAGGGTAACAATATACTGAAGGGTAACAATATACTGAAGGATAACAATATACTGACGGGTAACAATATACTGAAGGGTAACAATATACTGAAGGATAACAATATACTGAAGGATAACAATATACTGAAGGATAACAATATACTGACGGGTAACAATATACTGACGGATAACAATATACTGACGGGTAACAATATACTGACGGGTAACAATATACTGAAGGGTAACAATATACTGACGGATAACAATATACTGACGGGTAACAATATACTGACGGGTAACAATATACTGACGGGTAACAATATACTGACGGGTAACAATATACTGAAGGATAACAATATACTGACGGGTAACAATATACTGACGGGTAACAATATACTGACGGGTAACAATATACTGAAGGGTAACAATATACTGACGGGTAACAATATATTGAAGGATAACAATATACTGAAGGGTAACAATATACTGAAGGATAACAATATACTGACGGGTAACAATATACTGAAGGGTAACAATATACTGAAGGATAACAATATACTGACGGGTAACAATATACTGACGGGTAACAATATACTGAAGGGTAACAATATACTGACGGGTAACAATATACTGACGGGTAACAATATACTGACGGGTAACAATATACTGACGGATAACTATACTGACGGGTAACAATATACTGAAGGGTAACAATATACTGACGGGTAACAATATATTGAAGGATAACAATATACTGACGGGTAACAATATACTGACGGGTAACAATATACTGACGGATAACAATATACTGACGGATAACAATATACTGACGGATAACAATATACTGAAGGGTAACAATATACTGACGGATAACAATATACTGACGGGTAACAATATACTGACGGATAACAATATACTGACGGATAACAATATACTGACGGGTAACAATATACTGACGGATAACAATATACTGACGGATAACAATATACTGAAGGATAATATACTGACGGGTAACAATATACTGAAGGATAACAATATACTGAAGGATAACAATATACTGAAGGATAACAATATACTGAAGGATAACAATATACTGACGGGTAACAATATACTGAAGGATAACAATATACTGACTGGTAACAATATACTGACGGATAACAATATACTGACGGATAACAATATACTGACGGGTAACAATATACTGACGGGTAACAATATACTGAAGGATAACAATATACTGACGGGTAACAATATACTGACGGGTAACAATATACTGAAGGATAACAATATACTGACGGGTAACAATATACTGAAGGGTAACAATATACTGAAGGATAACAATATACTGACGGGTAACAATATACTGACGGATAACAATATACTGAAGGATAACAATATACTGACGGGTAACAATATACTGAAGGATAACAATATACTGACGGGTAACAATATACTGACGGGTAACAATATACTGAAGGATAACAATATACTGACGGGTAACAATATACTGAAGGATAACAATATACTGAAGGATAACAATATACTGACGGGTAACAATATACTGACGGGTAACAATATACTGACGGGTAACAATATACTGACGGGTAACAATATACTGAAGGGTAACAATATACTGACGGGTAACAATATACTGAAGGATAACAATATACTGACGGGTAACAATATACTGAAGGATAACAATATACTGACTGGTAACAATATACTGACGGATAACAATATACTGACGGATAACAATATACTGACGGGTAACAATATACTGACGGGTAACAATATACTGAAGGGTAACAATATACTGACGGGTAACAATATACTGACGGGTAACAATATACTGAAGGATAACAATATACTGACGGGTAACAATATACTGAAGGGTAACAATGTACTGAAGGATAACAATATACTGACGGGTAACAATATACTGACGGATAACAATATACTGAAGGATAACAATATACTGACGGGTAACAATATACTGAAGGATAACAATATACTGAAGGATAACAATATACTGACGGGTAACAATATACTGACGGGTAACAATATACTGAAGGATAACAATATACTGACGGGTAACAATATACTGAAGGATAACAATATACTGAAGGATAACAATATACTGACGGGTAACAATATACTGACGGGTAACAATATACTGACGGGTAACAATATACTGAAGGGTAACAATATACTGAAGGATAACAATATACTGACGGGTAACAATATACTGACGGGTAACAATATACTGACGGGTAACAATATACTGAAGGATAACAATATACTGACGGGTAACAATATACTGACGGGTAACAATATACTGAAGGATAACAATATACTGACGGGTAACAATATACTGAAGGATAACAATATACTGACTGGTAACAATATACTGACGGATAACAATATACTGACGGATAACAATATACTGACGGGTAACAATATACTGACGGGTAACAATATACTGAAGGGTAACAATATACTGAAGGATAACAATATACTGACGGGTAACAATATACTGACGGATAACAATATACTGAAGGATAACAATATACTGACGGGTAACAATATACTGAAGGATAACAATATACTGAAGGATAACAATATACTGACGGGTAACAATATACTGACGGGTAACAATATACTGAAGGATAACAATATATTGACGGGTAACAATATACTGAAGGATAACAATATACTGAAGGATAACAATATACTGACGGGTAACAATATACTGACGGGTAACAATATACTGACGGGTAACAATATACTGAAGGGTAACAATATACTGACGGGTAACAATATACTGACGGGTAACAATATACTGAAGAATAACAATATACTGACGGGTAACAATATACTGAAGGATAACAATATACTGAAGGATAACAATATACTGAAGGGTAACAATATACTGAGTGACGAAAATATACTGGACAGTAATATTCTGAGGCAGATTAATATACAATAAATAATTATGAAGGATAGTGACTAACTGGTGATTATCCTGTATGTATACACGGGTTGTGAGAGGTCCTGACCTCACAGGGGCACACTCGCTGGGTGTTATATATATGTACACAGTCAGGGTGTATGTGTGAGGGACATTGCCCCCTGGTGTGGGTAGGGCAGCATTGTCCCATAGTGTAAGGTAAGGTGCCCAGTCTACTCTATCAGTCACTATTATGAAAACCGAGGATGTACTTGCACCAGTAGTCCGAGGGTCAATACTAACAGAGGTGCTGGTGTTGCAGGCTACCAGTGGGTGACGTACACACTGGTCCTCTCCACCTCCGTCACCATCATCCCGCTGTTCTTCATCAAGTTCCGGTATACCAGGTCTTCCATTGACTCTCCCGACGATTGAATCTTCGGCAGCTGTCCTCAGCGAGGGCCTTCGGCAGCTGTGCTCAGCGAGGGCCTTTGGCAGCTGTCCTCGACGAGGACCTTCGGCAGCTGTCCTCGACGAGGACCTTTGGCAGATGTCCTCAGCGAGGGCCTCCGGCAGCTGTCCTTAGCGAGGACCTTTGGCAGCTGTGTTTAAAAGGGGTCCTCAACAGGAGCCCTAAGCTGTGTTTAATCAGCGGTCCTCATTACGGGTATTCGGCAGCAGTCTTAAGCAGCGGCTTTCAACAGGGTTCCTAAGCAGGTGTCTTCACTAGGGGTCCTTCGCAGCAGTCCCCCAATAAAGTCGTCACCGTTGGTTTCCACTGGACTTCGTCGTCTGTTTTCTAGCGGTTGTTGCCAGTTTTATTTTTCTGGTTCTACTCGCCAGGTTCGATCTGGTAATGCTTTCTGCTTTCCCTGCATTCATTTCTTTCTTCCTCTATTCTATTTCCTTTCTTACTCTGCTTTATTACGTTCTTCCCATAATTCCATATTTCCTTCCATTTTTTTTTAGCTTTCCTTATCCCGTCTTTTCTCTTCTTTCAGTATGATCACATTTCCTCAAGGCAAAGCTGTATTGCATTTATACATAATATGTAGACCCCATATATATATATATATATATATATATATATATATATATATATATATATATATATATATATATATATATATATATATATATATATATATTATAATATAATGTTTTCATGTTACTTGTAATGGTTGTGTTGTGTAGATGTTAAGACCATATTTTGTAATCTTGTACAATAAAGTTCCCTATATATATATATATATATATATATATATATATATATATATATATATATATATATATATATATATATATATATATATATATATATATATATATATATATATATATTCAAAAGAATAGGGGTGGTAGGAGAAGAAAATATTAGTGTTCAGTGAGAATCCATGAGGTCTTCTCTGAATACTCTTTATTTTCTTCTCCGAGGCTATATGGGTCTCTACAATTGCACCAGAAGTGGTACCCAGTATATATATTGTACATATGTATAGTGGACATAATTATGAACATACATACAAATGTATGTATGTATAAATGTATACATAGTATGTATAAATTGCTAACCACCATATCGTGGGCTACGCTTTGTGTTGTCGGCGGTTCGAGGTTCCTAGTGTCCAGAGTTATGAAATATATGTATATAAATAAAATGTTATGAGTACCCATCGACCTTGTAAACATAAGTGTTTAGTGAGACAGTTTGGCCAGCGGCCATGACACCTTGCCCTTCGAGTCAGCCGTTTGTTGGATTTTAAATTTAACTGCTGACTCTGAATCTTAAATTACCAATCAACTAGTCGTGCATACCAATCAACTGGTCGTATGACAGACAGCCGAAATTGTCTAACAATAAATAATACCATTATCACGAGTCACTGGAAGGTACAGAGTTAAAAAAAAATCAGTCAAACTTACAAAATTAGACTAACATCGCTCCAGACAGGTTGGCGCCAGTTACATTCGCGGCGGGACGGAGGGCTGTTGTGTCTGCTGGTGCTGCAGGTTAGTTGGTCTGTAACTGTAAATTGTTGCCTGCCCCACAGTGCGGCAAGTTTTCCTCTGACACATGTCTCTCAAGTCACCGCTCCTGTGTCTACAGCAAAAGATGACTGACAAAACTCTTCAAATCTTGTCATTCTCAACACTGACGCGTCTCCCAACATTAATACTCTAGCAGTCATTGGAAGGATAAACCTATAACGTATGTTTACGTATTTGGTTGATTAGATACACACAGTTTAGTGGTTTCTGTTAATTATTTAGTAGTCTTGGTTACAGCAGTCGGTTTGTTGGCAGTGTAGTCAAGTGTCGTAGGAGTTGAGACCAAGCCTGGAGCAGGGTAGAGTGTTGACCACACCACACACACTAGAAAATGAAGGGACGACGACGTTTCGGTCCGTCCTGGACCATTCTCAAGTCGATTGTGAGAGCTGAGTGAGACCAGGAGTAGAGAGCTGTGATGTGGGGTGAGAGTCGTAGAGCCTGGCGCTGTGAATGCGGGCGGAGTTGAGGAACTCGTGCGGGGACGAGTGCGTGGAAGCTCGATGTGGCCAATGTCTGATCTGTGTCGAGGCTGAAGCGTCTTGTGAGGGTAGGAACTGGACCCGTCGAATTTTACATTGTTGTTGAAGATGTGTGATATCTCCCAAGATTATTGATCGATAAAAATTAATCCATCCAAAGGGTGGCACGGTCATGAATTACCCGTAACAAGATTATTTCCTATTGATTGCTTATATAATCGGTCCACACTTCACCATCCTCTAGCAGGTAGGAAAGCAGTGTTGACTGCAATTAGGGGAAGAGGTATGAATTCCTAATTCAACCCGTCCTCGACTCAAGTCCATTCCATCCAGCAGTCGACCCCACAGACGCATTCATAAATTTTATCATTCAAAACAGGAATTTTCTCAAATATAAATTAATACTATAATAGCATATTGTGCATATATAGGCATAGGTTAGGTTAGGGTTTGATGTTTAAGTTCTGTTGGAGATTATATGTATTTGTAGTACGTGGGTGAAGCATTTACAGTGTTGTGGTTCGAACAAAATCCATCAGTGAAGCACTTGTTCCAGAAGTGTTGGAATGCAACCCGTCCTCGACTCAAGTCCATTACATCCAGCGGTCAACCCCACAGACGCATTCATAAATTTTAACTTGCTGTTCATTCAAAACGGGAATTTTCTCAAGTATAAATTAATATTATAATATATTAGCATATTGTGCATATATAGGCATAGGATAGGTTAGGTTAGGTGTTTAGGTTCTGTTGGCGATTATTTTTATTTGTAGTACGTGGGTGAAGCATTTATAGCGTTTTGATTCGAACAAAATTCGTCAGTGAAGCACTTGTTCCGGATATGTTCGAACGTCAGCAGTTGTGAGTCGTGTGTAAACCGCTTTTCATTCATAAACAGGGGGTTTGGCGGGTGCATGGAATCACTTTTGGATCTTTGGAGGACGGGCTGCATTTAGAGAGGTGTGATTTGAATATAAAATATGAGTGAAGCACTATTCGAAAAAACTTCGAAGGTCATCCTGTGAGACGTATAAAACGTGATTTATCATTTATAAACTGCGTTTGGCGTCTGGTTTATCGAACATTTTGGCTGCTGTTTGAGGACGGACTGTTGAATCGCACCTCCAAATGTCTCACCCCACTTACTTCAAATACATATAATGGCCAATGGAATCTAAATACCTAACCTCTCTAGGTACACAATTCTAAAATCTATTTATTCATAATGTATGATCATATTAGTCTATAAGAACATGCAGGTTTCGAATACACACAGTAAGATGACATTTATGAATGCGTGGATTGACGTCGGCCACTGGATGATTGTCTCTACTGGTCATGTGAAGGCGAGGGGCTGCTGGACTAACGACCATATTGCCGGTGTTTATGAGGACGGAGTGAATTAAGATTTGATTGAATGAAACGTTTCCATGTCTGTGATTATATTACCGCTCTGAAACTCTTGATACAGATCTTGAATTATACACATCATAATTCTTGTTTTATTGACTTGGTGGTGGTGCTACAGCCCGTTCTCGCGAGCGTTCCCAACGTCAAGAAAGTGGCATACTAAAGTGCTTTATCCTAACATACCAGGGGGACCCACGAACAGAAAACGGGACATTGTCAATTTTGCGAGCCACTATTATTTTCTAGTACGACAGGGTGCTGGGTGTTGCCCCCAGTGAGCTGTTGTGGTAGGTGCAGTGTACAAGTCTTACGGGCCAGACAGTGCCATCTAACGACAAAATGAGAATTCACCAAGCATTTACACGTCCACTTACGAATTATGGCGGCTTTGTTTACATTTTTTACAACCCATCCTCCTGTTTAGAACTATGTGGACCATCGTACATATATTGACGTAAACGGCAATTAGATAGAATTTGGTACTAATCACTTTATAAGAGTGAACAAAATAAAGCTAAAAAAATAAATATTCTTAGGTCTAGTAGAGCACATATATGTACTATATTAGGTCTGATATCTAGATTAGGCCTAGAAATTCTAACGATTCTCATTTGTTATGAATCTGAAGGCATTAATAAGGAGCATTTAGTACCGCTGCAATCGGTAGGCTTCTCATGTTTTATTGCGGTTCGTGTGGGATGAGGAAGAGGAACTAGGGAACGAGAATGTAGAAAATGGGACGAAAAATAGGACAAGAAGAAAGGAATTGAAGGAAGTGAACAGGCTGGCGAGTGTTGTTTCTGTAACTATTTTTCTATATAAAAGTTAATGTATAAAAACATTTTACGAAAAAAAGAGCTTACAGGATACACAAGATATTATCAGGTAGTATGTTTATTTAACACTCTGAGAGCCGCCAGGTGATGCAGGTGTGTTTGTTTACTTCTCTGAGAGCCGCCAGGTGATGCAGGTGTGTTTGTTTACTTCTCTGAGAGCCGCCAGGTGATGCAGGTGTGTTTGTTTACTTCTCTGAGAGCCGCCAGGTGATGCAGGTGTGTTTGTTTACTTCTCTGAGAGCCGCCAGGTGATGCAGGTGTGTTTGTTTACTTCTCTGAGAGCCGCCAGGTGATGCAGGTGTGTTTGTTTACTTCTCTGAGAGCCGCCAGGTGATGCAGGTGTGTTTGTTTACTTCTCTGAGAGCCGCCAGGTGATGCAGGTGTGTTTGTTTACTTCTCTGAGAGCCGCCAGGTGATGCAGGTGTGTTTGTTTACTTCTCTGAGAGCCGCCAGGTGATGCAGGTGTGTTTGTTTACTTCTCTGAGAGCCGCCAGGTGATGCAGGTGTGTTTGTTTACTTCTCTGAGAGCCGCCAGGTGATGCAGGTGTGTTTGTTTACTTCTCTGAGAGCCGCCAGGTGATGCAGGTGTGTTTGTTTACTTCTCTGAGAGCCGCCAGGTGATGCAGGTGTGTTTGTTTACTTCTCTGAGAGCCGCCAGGTGATGCAGGTGTGTTTGTTTATTTCTCCGGTGGGTCAGGGTGGTGGGCGTGGCGCCAGATGACACAGGTGTTATCACGGCTGCCCGTCACGAGGACCTCACCTCCGTAGCTCACTGCCATGGAGAACACCTCCTCGTCATGTCCTCGTTCCTCCTGAGACCAGGAGCACGAGGATGAGGAACGGACACACACACACACACACATATACATACATACATACATACATACATAGTACATGTGCCAATCTACAAGAAATGGGGAAGACAGAAACCGTTCAGTTATAAATCAGTATCAATGAGAATCCCCTACAAGTTTTTATAGTGATTCGAAGCAGGCCAGTAGAACATATAGAATATAAATTTTGTCTCCAAACACCAGCATGGATTTAAGAAATGAAAATCCTTCCTGCCAAACTTGCTGGAATTCTGCAATAAGACAACATGAACAAGAGAGAAGGATGGGTAGACTGCATATTCCTCGACTGTCAGAAAGTATTCGATACTGTCCCACACAAGAGCATCCTACTCACGCTAGAAAAGCAGGGTGGTGTATCAAGAAAAGTCCTGAGGTGGGTCAGCGAGTACTCAGGAAGGAAGCAAAGCGTTATAATGAGAGAAGATATATGAGATCGGATTGAGGTTACGATTGGAGTGCCACAAGGGTCAGTTCTAGGGCCCATACTTTTTCTAATATGTCAATGACCTGACAAAAGAATTTGGCTCCTTCACATCACTGCTTCGAGATGATGCAAAACTAATGAGAAGAGTATGAACATAGACTGTGATGCATTGCAAACTAATTTAGACATACTTTACCTTGCAATGATTTTGGGGCTCAACGTTCCCGCGGCCCGGTCCTCGACCAAGCCTCCTAATGTATTTCTAGAAGTGGTGTGAAAAATGGCTGCTAGAATTTAACCCAGCAAAATGTAAAGTCATGAGGGTTGGGACAGGAGTGAGAAGACCAGTACAGCAGTATGGGATGAAGGGAGGACAGGTTTTTCAATCTGAAAAAAGAGGTTGTTGGCGTGGGCGTCACCCCAGATCGGATGCCAGAAGCCCACATTAGCAGGGTAACAATAGCTGTTTATGGTACTCTGGCCAACGCACGTGTATCCTCCAGAAACTTGGACAAAAGGGCTTTTGCGCCCTATACACAGCAAAGGTAAAACTCTTGAATATGTATCCCTTGTATAGAACCCGCACCTGAAAAAGGACATGGAAAACTAGAAAAGATCCAAAAATGTGCAACAAGGCTCGTTCCTGATCTGAAGGGATTAAGCTATGAGGAAAGAGAAAACTGGACCTTACCCCACTGGAGGAAACATAGGTGAGGGGAACATGCTAACAACATATAATATTCTAATGGAAATTGACAAATAGACAAAGAAGCATTGATCAAAGTTAGGTACTATAGATCGAGGGATCACAGATAGAAACTAGAGACAGATGAGTTGCAGAGACGTACAAAAGAATGTTTTCAGTGTAAGTGTAATAGGTAAGACGTAAAAGTCGTTGAAGCTAATTCGGTTCAGTATTATAAATGTAAATATGTTAAAAGCGTGAGAAATGAGCATTAACATAATAACGTTGGGAAGGCGGCGCTAGGAGCCTAGCGCGACCATGACACGCTCGCGCGTCGCCATGACCCACCTGGACGCAGCGGCCGTCCTGGGCGTCCCACACCCTCAAGAAGCCGTCCTCGCCAGCAGTGATGATCCTCGTCCCCGCCGGATTGAAGGCCACCTGCGGACGGGAGACACCTGGATACAACCCAACATGATAAACTACAGATCAGTTATATGTAAAGGGAAAATTGCTTCAATTGACAAACACAAATGTCATCGGTACACACCTTGAACAAATATAGATTACAAATCTTACAACATGGCGTTACTAAGGGTCATTAATTGTTAACAGATAACATAACCCAGCCATATGATTAATAAGGAAAGTGACAACGTTTCGGTCAGGCTTGGACCCTTGGTCAGGACCTCATAAGGTCCAAAACGGGCAGAAACCTGGTCACTTCTTTTTCATGTGTTGAGGGGGTGCGGCTATTGGTTTCCGCCACGTTATCGTGACTGCAATTTTTAACATTATTTTATCCAGCATATTCGAAGTCTTCGAAAAAGGAAAAGATTACAACTTTATACACCTCTTGATTTGATCAAGTCTCTGACCCAAGATACCCGCAAGACACTGATGAGAAAAGTTGAGGGTCGAGTGTGACCTCTGACCTTGGTGACCTCGCCGTTGTGACCGTCCAGTTGGAGTGTGTGCGTGAGGGTGGGCAGGTGTAGGACGTTGGCAGTCCTGTCAACACCACCTGTCACCAGCTGCCGTCCACAGCTGTCCCACGCTCCAGACACCACCTGCCGGCGGACCACGTAACTCCGTCAGATGAAATAATATAAGAAAGAGAAGGGGTATTGGTTGATAGCGTTGCATAAAGTAACTGGCAACGGATAACGAGTGTATTGGAAAACACGTCTGTTAGTTATAGCTGCACTTAGTTGCGTGGAGGCTACGGTAGGGAAGGGGCACGCACCTCGGCGTCTAGGGAAGGGGCACGCACCTCGGCGTCTAGGGAAGGGGCACGCACCTCGGCGTCGTGGTGGAGTGTGTGGAGAGAGTGGTGGGTGTGGCGGAGGTCCCAGATGTTGGCGGCGGCGTCTGTGCCCCAGGAGGCCAGGTAGTGGCCACACCAGCTCACTCCCGCCCCGTTCACTTCCCCGTCATGCCTCGCCAACGTCCCGCTGCACCTATGAGGCGGTTTGCGGACATCACCTAGTTACTCATCACTGAAAATCATGTTAATCTAAGATCAATTGACTTCACTTATTAAGATATAAGAGATCCTGGTTAGTATGTGTTGATCTGACTCACTCGTGGGTGCGGGCGTCCCACAGTCTGACGGTGCCGTCGAAGGAGGCTGTGTAGAGGGCGTGACCTGACCTGTCGCCGCCCACGCCCACCACTGCTCCTGTGTGGCCAGACAGTGTCGTCGCACACTCTCCTGAAGGGCCAAACATGTCTTAGTCTTAATACCGCTTAATTTAAATAACTTTGAAGCAATGAATGTTGATGAAAATTCTGTTTTTTATCATAACCTTAGCAAGGTTTTCGATACCGTTCAGTTAGTTTTAGTTTAGTTCAGCGTTAAGAAAATGAACATAATAAAGCACTACATGGCTAATAAATAGAAAACGGATCGAATGTTGGCATAACTGAGCTAAATTAAAGCCTGAGTACATACTATACTTACTTTGTAAGTCACTAGTGACTTACTCACCTAGAGTCACTAGTGGTGTGTCCCCGGGTTTTCTCCTGGGACTTTATATTATACAGTGGTGTTCTTGATCTTGTAATACATATACATATTAGTTAATTTGCAGAGGATGCAACAAATAGGTAATGATTAAATTAGCGTAATGAAAGTGACACTAAGTCAACGCAGTAATTTTGATATTGGTAAATCTTTGGAAAAATGTAAGATGAGATTCGTGATTAGTAAAGACCTAAATTCAAGTTAGCAGTGTGTTAATGCATACAATAAAGCTAGTATGATAATTTTGTTTTACTAGGCTTGTCAGACTCTGCAGTTTGCCCTATTTAATGACTGGCAAATGTTCTTGGAAATACAACGAACAATGAGTAAGGGATATACAGTATGTTCCGAAAGGTGTACCAAATGTCTGGGTGAAGATATACTGAGAGTTTACCTTGCGGACGACTGATGAAAAAAGGACCTTGGAGTCAGAACCCACCAATCACTGAACGTTGCACAACAAGTGGGAGCTGCAGTAAATAAAGCAAACCAAATCGTAAAGAATAGCCAAGAGAAATTTTGACTGCGAGGAAAAGTAGGTAGCTATTGAACTGTATAAATCACTATATGGCGCCCCCATCTGGATTATTGTATCCAAACACAGACCCCATCTTCAGAAAGGCATATCTGCTTTTGGAGAAAGTTCAACACCGGGCAACTAAAATCCTTCCTGAAGTCGACTCTCACACCAGGAATAGTTGAGGGCCACAGGACTAGCAACACTGCAAATCTGCCATGTGCAACACACTTGGCAGAGCTGATCTCAATGAAACTTAAAATACTGAACACTTTGTAGGATAATGATCCAAACCACTTCTACAAAAGGTCAGATGAAACACAGAGTAACAGCTTCAAGCTCTACAAGCCACAATGTAGGAAGGACAACAGGAGATACCTTCACATGCATAGGGTTATAGACCTTTGGAACCGCCTTTGGAAGCCGTATATGTTAATTAAAAACTACTGAATTTCAAAATTCAGTTCAATAAAATTATTAGGACGAATGGAGGACCTTTTACAAGCCGCTGGCTTCCTGTCCTTGTCGAGGCCACTAGAGAGATAGTGGCCCCTCAGGTAAATACTTTCTGGTTTCCCAGTAAGCTATTGTAGTGGCCTTAATAATTTTCCAAACTAAGAATAAAAAGGATAATCTCAGTATCGGGAATATTTCTTATCAAGAGATATTAAGAGTATTGCCGGTATACTGTCTTGAAAGACGTAACACGAGGTGGCATTAACAGAGGATTAGGTGTTGAAACTGTTCAACCATGATACATCTCAAAAGGATGGATAACAGTTTGACCAATTTACTGATGGATGTAAATATCCAATTTACAATATTGGATGTGTGTAAATATTGGTCAGGTCAGAAGTTGTCCACGAGTGGCACATACGGAAGGATAAGGCAGATATACACCTCGAACCGTGGACCCCATGTGTGTGTGAGGCCAAAGCTGATTTATACTGACCCATGTTGAGGTCCCATATCCTGGCGGAGGTGTCCATGCCGCCGGTGATGAGAGAGTGCCTGGAGGAGGGCAGGGGTGCCACAACCACCACGGGACCCTCGTGCCCTGCCACCACCAGCTCGCATGACCCTGTGCCAGCCTCCCATAGACGCACAGTCCCGTCAAAGCTGCACGTCGCCACCAGCTCACTGGCGAAGACAGCGAAAGGTGAGACAGGCAGAGAGAGAGAGAGGTAATTATCTTTTGTCAAATAATCTGGCAGATGAAATTTAGGGGCACCTACACCAGCTGGCAGGTGGTCCTCAGGGGTACCTACACCAGCTGGCAGGTGGTCCTCAGGGGTACCTACACCAGCTGGCAGGTGGTCTTCAGGGGTACCTACACCAGCTGGCAGGTGGTCCTCAGGGGTACCTACACCAGCTGGCAGGTGGTCCTCAGGGGTACCTACACCAGCTGACAGGTGGTCCTCAGGGGTACCTACACAAACTGGCAGGTGGTCCTCAGGGGTACCTACACCAGCTGGCAGGTGGTCCTCAGGGGTACCTACACCAGCTGGCAGGTGGTCCTCAGGGGTACCTACACCAGCTGGCAGGTGGTCCTCAGGGGTACCTACACCAGCTGACAGGTGGTCCTCAGGGGTACCTACACAAACTGGCAGGTGGTCCTCAGGGGTACCTACACCAGCTGGCAGGTGGTCCTCAGGGGTACCTACACCAGCTGGCAGGTGGTCTTCAGGGGTACCTACACCAGCTGGCAGGTGGTCTTCAGGGATACCTACACCAGCTGGCAGGTGGTCCTCAGGGGTACCTACACCAGCTGGCAGGTGGTGTCACTTACTCGTGCTTGCCGATGAACGTGACATCGAAAACCACGTCGGTGTGGCCCTTGAGAGTAGCTTCGGCGCCTCCGTCAGCGGTCCGCCACAGACGGCACTCCCTGTCGTAGCTTCCTGTGGCGCACCTGCACCCGGGGGAGGTGGTCTGTTAGTGTTGGTCTGAGGACCATGGTGGGAGGTAGTCTGTTAGTGTTGGTCTGAGGACCTCTCCGATAGAAGGCGGTCTTATGAAACATGGGGACAAACATCCATGGTTTACCATGGATAGGTTTATCCATTTAGATAGGAAACCTATCTAAACAGCAATAAAGACCGTATGACTAGTACACTCAGTACTTGAACTCATGGAATTAATTGCCTGTTTATATGAAATGTGTTATCTGGTTGAACTACAGTTACCTGATATATTTTTTTAGAATTTTAAATTTTAAATTCGTTGTCCGAATCCGAATTTAAATTATAAATTCGTTGCCCGAAATGCAACGCGTGCTAGTGGCTGAATAGGAATGTAAAAACTCTTGTACAGTATATAAATAAATGTCGGCGCATAGTATGAGAGACAATGTCATTCGAAATGGATTAATTATTATTAATAGAGGGCAGAATTGGTGGATGGCGCTCAAGCTGATTGGCGGAGCGCCATCCACCAATCAGCGCTCACTTGCGACCTGCCAGAGGCAACAGAAAACGGGTCGTGTTGCGCGGCCTTCCAGCGGCAGCCGTCAGTGTAAACAGCGGCCTCTAAGGGAGGAACTTGGCCCCACTTCAAGGAACTTGCTGTTAGTCACGCAAAATAGCGCAAGTAAGTAAGCAATTATCAAAAGAAAGCACCAAACCGGGAAGGCTATGTAGCACCAACAAGATATCGCAAGTTAATAAGACGCTTCTCTTGACTCTTGTCCTGAGTGCTGGCCTCAAGTTAGCTGAAGAACTTCAGTAACTTTCTACTTCAACGGGATGATGCACTACGAAGCTGATTTGAATGATTGGTGATTGTTGAAGGTAAATCTCACAATCCTTGTGTGGGGATGTCGGTAGGTGTGTGTATAGTACGCAAGGAACCTATAGATTATGCTTAATTATTGATCAAACATATTTTATTTACCTCCTAAATGGAGTAACGTTTTTGGAAATAGAGCTATCCTAGTAGGTATAATTCAATTTATTTTAATCGTTGGCTCAAGATCAATCGTGGCGTTCATTGCATGTCTGTCAGTTGATTTCAGTGAAAGCATTTAGAGTGTGATAAATTAATTATTTGGGATTATCTTGCCCTATACGTGAATCAAGATGATCAATGTGATCAAGGTGATGATTAATGTGGTCAGGCCGTAGGCTGGCCACACACACCATGCTAGAGACAGGACCGTCCTGCCATTGAGTGCTCTGTCCCCCACCCGTCCAGGAACACCTCCAGCAGCAGGACGGTAATTTGTCCTATTTTGGGGGCCCTGTCTAAAATAATTATAAATGGTACATCGGCTGCTTCCTGTAGTTTGTGAAGTAAGTTAATTTGGTTAGCATATGTCGTTCCCGCGAGAGTAAAAATGAATATTCATGTCTTCCAGTTCCATATTTTTACTGTATAAATGCATGTGCTTAATATATACAGTACGTTAAAAAAGTTATTTTAGAAAAAACACTCCAAATTTGCATTCATTACGTTATTGTGATATTGGAGATATACACAATTCTCCCAAGTATATTTTCTCCAACTTTGTATATATTTTAATTCATTATAATACATGTTTGATTTAGGGTACATCATCAGATTTAAGGCTTTAGTAAATAATTTGTTAAATACTATGATTTGGTCTTTTGTGTATTTTAATTATTATAATAATGAAGTAAAAATGCATATGATATGTATATATATATATATATATATATATATATATATATATATATATATATATATATATATATATACACACACAAAAAAGAGTACCACCTCTGGCTGGAAGAAGGGGACCCTTAGCCTCGGAGGAAATCACACATAACGGATTAGAGGGTATGTTTAGGTCCCCCTCCAATAGTTTCTGTGCATATATATATATATATATATATATATATATATATATATATATATATATATATATATATATATATATATATATATATATATGTCGTACCTAGTAGCCAGAACGCACTTCTCGGGCTACTATTCAAGGCCCGATTTGCCTAATAAGCCAAGTTTTCCTGAATTAATATATTTTCTCTAATTTTTTTCTTATGAAATCATAAAGCTACCCATTTCATTATGTATGAGGTCAATTTTTTTTTATTGGAGTTAAAATTAACGTAGATATATGACCGAACCTACCCAACCCTACCTAACCTAACCTAACCTATCTTTATAGGTTAGGTTGGGTTAGGTAGCCGAAAAAGTTAGGTTAGGTTAGGTTAGGTAGGTTAGATAGTCGAAAAACAATTAATTCATGAAAACTTAGCTTATTAGGCAAATCGGGCCTTGCATAGTAGGCTGAGAAGTGAGTTCTGGCTACTAGGTACGACATATATATATATAAATATATATATATATATATATGTCGTACCTAATAGCCAGAACGCACTTCTCAGCCTACTATTCAAGGCCCGATTTGCCTAATAAGCCAAGTTTTCATGAATTAATGTTTTTTCGTCTACCTAACCTACCTAACCTAACCTAACCTAGCTTTTTTTGGCTACCTAACCTAACCTTACCTATAAATATAGGTTAGGTTAGGTTAGGTAGGGTTGGTTAGGTTCGGTCATATATCTACGTTAATTTTAACTCCAATAAAAAAAAATTGACCTCATACATAGAGAAAAGGGTTGCTTTATCATTTCATAAGAAAAAAATTATAGTAAATATATTAATTCAGGAAAACTTGGCTTATTAGGCAAATCGGACCTTGAATAGTAGGCTGAGAAGTGAGTTCTGGCTACTAGGTACGACATATATATATATATATATATATATATATATATATATATATATATATATATATATATATATATATATATATATATATATATATATATATATATATATATATATATATATATATATATATATATATATATATATATATATATATATATATATATATATATATATATATATATATATATATATATATATATATATATATATATATATATATATATATATATATATATATATATATATATATATATATATATATATATATATATATATATATATATTTTATTAAATATGACCGAAAAAGTAAGATTAATAATTCTAACACGAATTTTCTCAATCTTTCGTACATTATGCTTCACTGTTGGAGGTAAATCAAAAATCACTTCTCCAAAATTCATTTTTATTTCTAGTCTGACGCGACACGGGCGCGTTTCGTAAAACTTATTACATTTTCAAAGACTTCACAAATACACAACTGATTAGAACTTGCATTTCCCTGATTTTATATCTACTTTTGAGTGAGGTGGGAAGGGTGATGTGGCATTACATTTGAGTGAGGTGGGAAGGATGATGTGGCATTAGAGGATATTAATAGGGTATTAAAAGTATCAACACAAGACAGAACACGAAACAATGGATATTGAATAGAAGTGTTTGTAGAAAGCCTATTGGTCCATATTTCTTGATGCTTCTATATTGGAGCGGAGTCTTGAGGTGGGTAGAATATAGTTGTGCAATAATTGGCTGTTGATTGCTGGTGTTGACTTCTTGATGTGTAGTGCCTCGCAAACGTCAAGCCGCCTGCTATCGCTGTATCTATCGATGATTTCTGTGTTGTTTACTAGGATTTCTCTGGCGATGGTTTGGTTATGGGAAGAGATTATATGTTCCTTAATGGAGCCCTGTTGTTTATGCATCGTTAAACGCCTAGAAAGAGATGTTGTTGTCTTGCCTATATACTGGGTTTTTTGGAGCTTACAGTCCCCAAGTGGGCATTTGAAGGCATAGACGACGTTAGTCTCTTTTAAAGCGTTCTGTTTCGTGTCTGGAGAGTTTCTCATGAGTAGGCTGGCCGTTTTTTCTGGTTTTATAGTAAATCGTCAGTTGTATCCTCTGATTTTTGTCTGTAGGGATAACGTTTCTATTAACAATATCTTTCAGGACCCTTTCCTCTGTTTTATGAGCTGTGGAAAAGAAGTTCCTGTAAAATAGTCTAATAGGGGGTATAGGTGTTGTGTTAGTTGTCTCTTCAGAGGTTGCATGGCTTTTCACTTTCCTTCTTATGATGTCTTCGATGAAACCATTGGAGAAGCCGTTATTGACTAGAACCTGCCTTACCCTACAGAGTTCTTCGTCGACTTGCTTCCATTCTGAGCTGTGGCTGAGAGCACGGTCGACGTATGCGTTAACACTCCTCTTGTACCTGACGATTTACTATAAAACCAGAAAAACGGCCAGCCTACTCATGAGAAACTCTCCAGACACGAAACAGAACGCTTTAAAAGAGACTAACGTCGTCTATGCCTTCAAATGCCCACTTGGGGACTGTAAGCTCCAAAAAACCCAGTATATAGGCAAGACAACAACATCTCTTTCTAGGCGTTTAACGATGCATAAACAACAGGGCTCCATTAAGGAACATATAATCTCTTCCCATAACCAAACCATCGCCAGAGAAATCCTAGTAAACAACACAGAAATCATCGATAGATACAGC